CCCCAGATCACCAGACTTTGTGATGTCATCCAACGTCATCGTCGACTGGTGGTGGTTCGATCACAGAGGCAGCAGAAAAACACGTTAGGTGCAGGAATCTTTCGTCGGCCGTGGACCAGAATACCAGAACTCCTACCAATCATGTGAACAAGGATTGCGAACAATCCTCTCTTACTGTCGTGTAACTTGTGGACGTTTTCTGACACTCTCATGCTTTAACGAAACGCAACGATGCAAAATTTCGAGGAGTTCATTCTGTATGTTACCTGGTTGCCTTTCCGTTTGTTTCTTGCGTTTTTAGCTTGCCCGATCACGTGGCGTTGCCCTGTTTTAGCGGAAATGAACGGTCTTTTCCGCAAATAAAGTTTTGGTCTTCTTCCAAGTGCTAGCATACGTTTTACGAGTGCAGAATTTTTGTATGGGTGCTTAGCAGCATTATCTCTCCAGGAACAGTGAAACGTTTGTCGACATTATTACGATTAATTTATCCGGTATAATGCGCCCAGTGCCGCTTGTCATTCAAGGTAACTTAATTACGATAGCTGTTCACGCAATATGCTCCCACAGGAATAACAGTTCGTGCAAAGTTAGCAAGCTGCGGACGACTAATAAAACAATCATCCGCAGTTTCACTTGCGATGCCAAGTGTATTTGGAGGAGTGCAGTTCCGTAGTGCCGGTATAGCGAGATGTTATCAGCGTGACTTGAAAAAATTGTACCCTCCGGAATAGCCAGAAAAACGCTTAGCCGCATATGGCCCAGTGCGCAGTGCCTACCACAGCAGAAGCGAGATTTTTTTTTTCGCGAGTTGTCAGGATGAAAATTTTGCGCCTTTGACCGCGGAAAGCACTTACAAATTATGGTAATCTAGGTTGTATCAACTCGTGTTTCGGAAACCACATGTGCTTGTCAAGTTAGCTAGCTGAAATAGCACGTTTTAAAGCCACGATACTGCCCCCCTCCCCCTACGCACAAAAGCATGTGTAAAGCATTGAAAGCAGAAAGTGATTTGATAACGTGTCTTGGTGGTGGTTATTCTTTCGAAATGGGGAAGTGCGTTTTAAAACACGAGCGTATACCATTAGATTCCAATACTCTTGTTTTTTTGTTGCATATTTTTTTCTGCCTACACCACTCGCTCCTCTGACAAGCAAAAAAGGATCAATGTACATACACATATCGGTCCAAAAAGAAATATTTTGTGAAACGTAATTCATAGGAGACTGTTTTTCTTCCTGGTCCTTCAGGTCGAGCATAAGCTCCCGAATTTCCGAATATCCTGCAAAGTTCACGTAAATAATGAAAGCGTAACAATATCAATGCTTTTGTACCAGGTTGTAGTAGACAGACATGTCGTCGAAGCTTGAGGTAACTAAACATATGGCACAAATAACTGTATAAACTATTAGGGAAAATGGAGTGAAAGAGTTCGTGAAAAAAAAGAAAAAATTGGCCCCGTATCTGCATGTAATCTGCAAATGTTATCTAAAGACAACAGTCTTGCGTGTGGCGAGGGTGAACAATAACATTCATTTGATGTTCTGCGCAAGAAAAATCGGTGAATGGTATTCCGGAGGCGCTGCGTTAGAGTGCATCGAGCGTGCAGCGGAGGCGAACGAGCGCATCAAGTCACGTCACACGTGAGACATGAGCGCCATCTGGCAGTTTTATTTAGAAAACACAGTGCGTGGCCCTGAGACGGGCGCGCACGCCCGTCTCAGAGGTGATAAGGTGTAGAACGCAAGGCGACGGGTAGGTGCCTTTGCCGGGTAGGTGTCTTTGTAAAGCGTTGGAAACACTCGCTTCTTCGTGCGAGCATTGCATGGTCAGCGCAGCGTGATAAGCGCTACGGTCCTTAGAATTACTTTTTTATGCCTTTTCTAGTAAAAGACGAACATGCAGAATATATACGTGTTGTTAAGGTGCCTCCAATATGCGCAATAATTGCTTTTTAATTGACAATCGCACACGTATGAACGCTGATTCTTGAGCAACATTGGTGGGCGCTGCGGATGGGGTCGGCCATTTGGGGTATCGGCTGGTGCTGTTTAGAGTACCCGGTTCAGGGTAACGGTGGACAAACAGACAAATGTACAGACAGACATACAGACAGACAGACCAAAGTTTTTGCGTCGAAGGTCCCCAAGAAAGACTATTGCCTTTAATAAAAGCAGATGGCTTTCACATAAACACGGGAATCTGTGAGGGCGACAGGTGAAGCTTATCTGAACTACGCGCTTCTTCAACATAGGCTTTGATATCCACTTTGACAACGCCATAAAACTTAACGTTAACCCAAAGAACACTCCCAGTGACACGAATGTCACCGGGACATTCGTGTCACTGGGAGTCTTTCTATCTCATCTGGATAGAAAGTTCTTAGTCTCAGTAAGGCACTCACCTCTGCGCATGGTGCCTCTTATCTTTCAAGGTGCAACTGAAGAGCATGCCTGGACAGTCGGTTTTAATTGTTCATACCAAAAAAGGTAAAACTGTCATAGCTTCCACAAAAATAAAGTTTATTAAACATAATCATCTTGCTTGCAGGCAAGCAGGCTAGAAATTGGGAAGCTGGGTGACTCTAAAGACTATAGGTTGCTCTGAGGTCACTTCTTAGCCTTAGCTATGTGTCACAGGTTCTTTGTACATTGATTCCACGTCATTGCAAGGACTTAACTTTAGGGTGTTCCTACGTTGAGTCTCAGCGCAGAGGTCACGGATGTCCAAACTTCAAGAGATAGAACGTCTCGCTATAACCAAGTGTTTGCGCCGGTCTACGGCACGTCATCATTGGCGTAGTCCTTCCATCACTCAGGGGTCTCCTCGCAGCTACCATTTTCTATTTCATTCCCTTCCAGTCAGTCGTTGTACGTACTCATAGTCTTTCGCTCATCGCCGTCACTTTGCAGCCATTTGTTGTGCTAGCAGTCGGCTCCTTCATTTTTCGTTCACCAGTGGTGGGCACGGAGATATGTCAAGTTTCTGTGGCATGTACCTTTGAGATGATAGCTTCCTGCTCACAATGCCGCACACAAGCATTACAACTAGCTTTAAGAGCTTTGGCGCCAAAGAAAAAAAAAGACAAAAAAGTTAAGATAATGGTAACCACTCTTGCCCATAGATTTTATTAAATGCCAAGTGCGCTTGCCACCTGCAAATAATAAAAAGTGAAAACGTCAGTTTGACCACATCTGCTGCACATTTTTTCAGTTACATGAGGTTGCGCGGTGTTATATGTGTATACTCATAACGACGATGGCGAAAGTAAGAGTCACACTTTTCCAGGGTTAACTGTGAAGGAGATACGAACACACAAAAGGTTGTGTCTCCCTGTGAAACATGAGAGCATTCGCATCAAATTGCATAGGTTCTGCAGTGTTTTGAGAGTCACCGTGGAGTCCTAAGTGTTCTTTCACATGTTGCTGTGGTCTCGGAAAGTGGCTCAAACCCGCGAGAAAAATTGGCCTTAGAGAAGTTCGTAAACATTTTTGTCCGCATGTAGCGCAATCAGCCACACATGGTTTCTGACCATCGCTGTGCTTGCACATAGTACACGCAGAATGAATGATTTTTATTTTTTTTTACTAAAGAATCTCGAAGGAAACAAAAAGTTCCAGTTTTGAATTTTTGACATCGTGATAGCGTCGCGTGTTTCGTGAAAACGAGTGTTCTCTCCCCATAGCGTTATATTTTTTTTGCCACCACGTGCTTTAGCATGTTGGCACGTGCGCTTGCTGGGACACGAGAAAGAAAGAAAGAAGACGTGCACGCTCTGTTGAGACCACCCTGTTTTCGTCACTTGGCAGCCTACTAACAAACCAACCGACGCGTTTATTTTTCCTGAGAATCGCTGCGGTGAGCCACCCTTTTCAGACGTGAGTAGCAATTTTGCTAGCCTTCTAACTGATGGCGTTGAGAACAATGCCATAATTTCCGCACTGTTCATGCTCAGGAGACCAGCTGTGTTATCCTATACAAAGACCTGAACAGCGATCATCGCGATGATAGCACATGCGGCAGACATAACGCGAGAAAGTGTGGGATACGTGGTAATGGGAATGTGTCGTGTTATGAGTATATCAAGTTAGCACGCATGATATATGGGCAAGGTGATGGAATGAAAGGGAAATTAGAGATCGCGGGCAGAGAGTAATGATTACTGACAAACCTCGTAGGCAAAAGCCATACGGTGGGGCTAAATCACTGCAAACAGTGTGTCAAAGTCTGACGCTTACTAATTAATAACCACTGAATAAATATTACTAGCAACACTTGCTTGAATTGATTTTCACTAATTGACTCGATTAGGCTTACTTCGTTTTAATTATGTACATACGCTGTATGGTACTTTCACTCGAGGAAATAGCTACGCCGTATTTTATCACATTTTTGCGAACGCGAAAAACTGTTCTGAGTTCACGATTTTGTAGAAGAATTCGTCACAACACCTCTTTATTTTTCTCTCTTTACCATTGTTTTGCTTGCATTAATCTGCATACTTATGAAGCATGGTGCAACGTGAGACACTTCAGTTGAAGTAGAGCTTAACTTTTACAACCAGGGATACCACAGTGTACCCCTAAGAATAAGCACACAAGTATTCCTTCAACCTTGATCGAAGTTTGGTCCCCTTGGCGGAGCGTGAAACCCGCTCCGTCGCACTTAGCATTTTAGCACCATAGCATTTAAACAAAATGGCGAACCAATCTCTTTGTCCCCTCTTTTCTTCGACTGTGAAGCCCCAACCCCACTAGTCCCGATGACCTATACTGGTTAATGTGCTCAAGTGCTGACCCGGCAGGTCATGGAATGGAATCTCCGCCACGGAAGCTGAATTTTAGATGAAGGCCAGAATGCTAGAGGCCGGCGTCCTTAGATTTCGGTGCATTTTGAAGGACCCCAGGTGGCCCAACCTGAAGTACGGCGAATCTCATAATCATATCGTGTTTTCGGGACGTAAAACCCTCAACAATTGTCGAATTATTTCCAACCACGATTCAATGCTTCAGCTGATGGCCTTCATCGAGAACTCTCTAGCCGTGGTCTGGCGACGGCTGTACCTGCAGACTGTCAGGCGCCGCGCCATCTTGTTGGCGGTCGAGCTGGGCTTCGTCATCGTCATCTTCGCGGTCATACTCAAGTACGACCACGTTGACCCCAGCACGGTGAAGAAACTGGACAAGCGCCAGGCTGTGCCCTTGGCTCCCGACGACCCTTATTTCGGTGAGGACGGCAGCGCGATTACAGCACGCGAATGGCAATTCGTGTATGGACCCGACACCAACTACACCCGAAAAATTGTCGACGGTGTTGTCAAAGGTGAGTGCCAGATGCGCGACGAATCACGATCAATTATACCATAAACCGGGCAGCCAAGAATGAGTTTCTCGAAAAGTTAGGGTTGAGATCACGTATTTATGACACTTTATTTACCCAAGTGATCAACATGCTCAAACTATTTCGCAATAAAAAAATTTGCACCCACTGAACGAGGACACGACGAGGAAATTCGCAATGACCAGTGCAGAGTAACAACTGACCTTTAATTTTTAAGACAGCACTTATATGCGTTGTCGACAAGCGCGTCATAATAACTGCGCATGATCACAATGACACCAAAAAACCTTTTACCTAAAATGATAAAACCATTACCAAAACCGATACACTATAGGATATCTTTTACCAATTTGAATATTACAGCGAAAACCGTGTATGACTAAGATAAATGGCAAACCATTCTGCATCGGTGTCACGGGTGGTCCCCATTGGTTGCACTATTACGTTGTATCTAAGCACGCGCGTAGCCCCGCCGCGGTAGTCTGGCGGCTAAGGTACTCGGCTGCTGATTCCGCAGGTCGCGGGATCGAATCCCGGCTGAGGCGGCTGCATTTCCGGTGGAGGCGGGAATTTTGTAGGTCCGTGTGCTCAGATTTGGGTGCACGTTAAAGAACCCCAGGTGGTCGAAATTTCTAGAGCCTTCCACTACGGCGTCTCTCATAATCATATGGTGGTTTTGGGACGTAAACCCCACATATCAATCTATCTAAGCACACGCGTAATGTGGTGCGTTGTGAGTGGCGTCTTCGATACCGTTGCAGACGTGGCGCTGAGCGTGCGCGCATAAATTTCTATGGGCAGTTTCCCCATGAATAAGCCATGGACAACTCTACCAGAGCGCTGATCACGAAAAAGTGAGAGAGCTCGCATTGGCCAGGCCGATGGTGCAGTCCGTGCACAAAACCAGGCCCGGGAGGCCGAGTGCTGGCCGCATCTGCGTGCCGATGGCAGCCTTCCAAGCCGCGCTAAATCACAAACGGGAATGCAAGCGCCGGTGGCGGGTGGAACGTGTAAATTACATCACCGAGTTAGCTCGTGATGTCAAACGCTTGCAACAACGCCGCGCCGAACAAGTGGCTTTGCGGGCACAACAGCGTCAACGTGATGACTGCGGGAGCGCGTTCACAGGGGCGAACGCCCGCTTGCGGTGGCAGTTTCTCCAACGTCAGTTCGGCTTCGGCTGCGACACCTGTGACCGCTTGAAGTTTGAGAACAACCACTGTATTGGGAAACGCATTTAACCACTCATTACACTTCTCCATGGCCGTGACAATGCGAGGCACAGTGTGTGGCATGTGAAATAAACTTTGTGGTAATACCAAGCCAAACGTATCTTAAACATGCTTAAGAAGCACGGACATGTAACCAATAGTTGTGAAAGGTTTTAGAGGAGCGTCGGGTGGAACCCGCTGCTTAAGACCTGGGCCGCACGTTTCGGCTTTCGCTGCTACGGAGTGCTTGGGCACTCGTAATTTTCTTCAGTTGACGACGAAGAATTATGCCTGAGGCTTTTGTAACATGTCAGCGCATTCGAAAACCCCCTCGTAATGCAATTAATATTGTGTGACACTTGGTGGTTACTTTGTTCTAAAGCGCCTTGTTACATAAGTTGATGCGCTATTTAACGGACATGAAGCCCGCATAGGGTTAGTTTGCTACGGTATGTCAGGCACCAGCGTAGCTCAGTGGTAAAGTACTGGCATGGCCACTGTTACTGCGCTGCCACGCAGAGGGCCCGGATTGGATTATCATTATGTCCTGGGCATTTTCTGTTATTTAGTTAGGTCTTTTTCTTTTGCGCATTAGTGGCTACGAACACCAATGCCGGTGGTGGCGAAGAGTCATGGCGGCAAAATTAGCCTCTGTTGTAATCGCTGTAAAAGTACCTATAAAACACTTGTGAATTCAACAATAATCACGTTCTCACATCTCGCTAATTTTCATTGTTTGTATTATTGTTGCTGTAGAAGTTTTCCTATTGAGATAATTCCCGTAATTTTGTCTTAATCTTGCGCTCATCAAGAATCGTAGAATGGATCAGTTTACGTACATGCCGGTAATAGCCACGAACTTTTGGACAGCTTTTAGAGCACGCTCCCGGGGACAATACTGCATTTTAAATTGATTGTAGGTGCCGTAGAGAACCTATGAGTGTGTTAGGAAGGGGGCTGAATTAAAGACGGCTGGATGAGTTGAGGTAACACTTCGCCCGAATTTTCCAGTTGTAAAACCTAGATTTCGACCATGACAAGTGAAAGCGGCTGTTGGCGTTGGCGTCAGCACGAGTGATGCAAAATAGCCATTATGCCATGACGCCACCACGCGACGTCATTATAACGCCACAGGTCACCATATTTAGCGGCATCATCATGACGTCATGATTACGTCAATATTACGTCACGTAGCATGACGTCGCATGATGAAGGCATGACGACACTGAGTCATAGACACACCGATCCCTCAGGCCGTGCAAAATCACGTTGGGCGCAGAATGCTTTCGGGAGGGACTCGATGCAATCGACTGCGAAAGAAAAGAAACAATGGCTGCTTGAATTTTTAAATGAAAGCTGCGGCTATTCGTAGTCTGCTGTGCCCCTCCCCCCCTCCCCTGCTTGCACAAAATCGGTAATCCACAGAAAAAAAACATTTAGCCAAAGGTGTGGCGCATGTTCAGGTATTTGAAACTGCGGTGACAACATCACTTCTCTTTTCTCTCCCTCTCTCTATGCGCAAGGGTATTCACGCCGAAGCAACGCGGACAACAGTAAGGAGTTTCCCGAAAAGTCTGCCGGCAAAGAGGCCGTTCGCTCGTGGCGGCGCACCGCCGGGGGTGCATCTAAATCGGCTCCCGCCTCCGAGGCCGTCAGCGATGTGCACGATGTTCCCGAGTCGTGCCTGCAAGCCATGGTCAACAGACACTGGACTGGCTCGGGCGGCTACAGCCCCGCTAGAGCACCGGACTACGATATCGCGTGCGTGCAGTTCTGGAACTCGGAGCAAGAGGGGATGAATGGGAGCCTGTCCTACAGTCTCGTCTATTACATGCCACCCGAGGAGCTACCGCCAGAAGCATCGCCGCTGGATGTGGCTTCTTACTTGGCCAGTTACACAGCACAGGGCCCAGTGGTCAACGACACCCGGCGACAATTCTTAGGTGATCAAGTTTTCCTGACAAAAACGTTGTTATAGTATTTTACATAATGAGAATTTAGCAATATGATAGGTGTAAAAAAAAGAGTGTTTGGTTGTTTCATGGCTAAACAGCTCACGCCTAAAGGAACCCTGCAATGTTTCTGCGACTGTCTCATGTAGCGATGGAATGCGTGTAGCAGTAAATGCCGATAACCTTAAAAAGAATAATGAAAATGGGCAGGTGATAACTCACGTCATTAGCTTTCAAAATTTGAAACAAAAGTAGATGACGGCAAGAAACGTTGGTTCTCACATTTCACTCTCCTGCTGACGTTAAAGGACGGTTCCAAACATTGCACGCGTCTTATAGAGACACACTGGAAATCTCCGCCTCATGGTAGCTTTCACACTAGCCTCACCACCACTCTTTTTGACGGCGTGGCTATGATGGCTACGACGATCGACGCGCGTCGGCTATCAGACGCTCTTACGTTATCAGACGCTTTGTTGTGTAATGCACACAGTGCGTCCGGAAGACCTTACATGCTTCGAGTTCTTGTGGCAGAGCGATGCCCGGCATGTCGTGCCGTATGAGGACACACTATTTCTGATTGAAAGCGCATTGCTGAGCCCCACGCAATGCGAGTACGATTTCAAAGGCCCGGACAAAACGCCTCCACCCTTAGCTTACCGGCGAACGATCGGTCGGTAACTGTTCATAATATTTCTCTTGACAGCTTTGTGCCGACATGGGTATTGCGTGTTCGGCAAATGCTGGCGTGGCCGATGTCGCCCGTTGCCGCAAAGGCAGAACGCGCGAGAGTATAGAAAGATTACCTTTCGCATCAGTCTTGCAGCACGTCTTGAGGCCGATTGGCATTTCTTCTTATTCTTCAGACCTAGTTTTGGCTACACAGACCACGATTGACGAGGTGCACATGACCTTACACGGCGAGACGAGAAGGGATGCCTACGAGCCAGCTGTAGCGGTGAGTGCTTTGGTGGGTTACCGACGCGGGTGCCGATGTCAGCGAAGCGTATACGTCCGACTTGCCTTGCCCCATCTGACGTGAGGTGGCGTCATGTCGTGCTTACGTCACTCGGACGTGTTGAGTTACTAGGACGACTAGAGTTCGATGCTGTATTCTAAGCCGCTAGTGTATACTGCATTATTCTGTCCAAAAGCAAAATGCCACCCATATTATTTCATGGAAGCAAGGCCAGGGGCTTAGATCAAGATCAGTGCTCAGATTGCGGAGCGCATAATCAGTAAAATTATCACAGGCGATGATATAGAAATACCAAAAAAACTATGCTCTATTAGGAATTTTCGTTCCTCGAGTTGATAGTGGAATGTTATGGGCAGCATTTGTTGTGGTGATGTATTTTTTTTGCAAGTAAATACGGTTCCAAGAAACTTTACTAACTTCCTGCAAAGCAATAGGTTTGTCGGCAACCCTATAGCTGCAGTCATGACAGCTGATGAAAGTGCATTTCAAATATATTTCGCGAAGTTATCGAATACGTACTTTTCATGGCATGATTTCCAACCTGATCAGATCAATTATTGTAAAGTCGCAGCAGTCATGCTCGACGAGTAACAGTCACGTTGGGCGTTCGTGATCTGATTAGGCGATATTTGTCCAACACAGCTCTTGTGTGCGTGGGTACTGCGCATAGTGATAGCTATTCTTGTCCCACTGCCATCGGTCATGCCATGCTGAGTGCGCTTATTTTTGCCTGAGCTATTTATCCAGCGTTACGCTAATAGGTTACGGTAACAAGATTCAGGGTTTTTTTAAGCGCAAAGCAAGCAGATCCTGTCATTGTAAGGAATGTCTATCCGATTGTTCTCAGGTCACCTACCGTTCAATGCCCATGAAGCCGCCTTTTCTGGATGTACCGCGCTATCGGAACGGGTTCTTTTTCGCGCTGTCTCTAGCATTCTGCCTGCCACTGGTGTGGAGGATCAGCGAGATGACCAACGAGATGGAGTTGGGTCTCAAGGTAATTATGTCATTTGAGTGAAATAAGCCTTTAACATTCGCGGTTGACGTTCTTCATAACAGAGGCGTCAAACTCAGCTTAGCTAGTAAGCCGCAGTCACAAAATTTAGTCTTGCATGGGCCCAGACAGCGAAGGGCTGGGAAGGTACTGGAGGGGGGGGGGGGAATATAACGTGCCAGCTAAAATTTGCATGTAAAAGAGAACTTTTGTCAGATCTTATATATGGGTCAACAATGAAGGGGACTTGTCGTAGTGGCGCCGTTGGGGAGCAGTTTTTCGTAGTTTGGTGTAGTTTTGGCCAAGTGGCGTAAATTTGGAGTAGGGGATTTCGTAGTGGCCTTTAGACACATCGGAATGACCTGTCGAGCTTAAAACCATTCGATGAAAATCCCATCCATCGGCATTGTCCGCGGTGATCTCTTTTGGTGCGGAGAGCTGTATATTACGAATTTAAAGTTTATCAATCACTGTCATATGCAGGCCGCGCAATGTCAGTGGGCCGTGAGCTTGGAAACCCTGCCATATGCCGTAAAACAGCATTCGAACGAATACCCTAAGCTTCAGTATCAGTGGTGTGAACTGTTGGGAATGTCAAGAGTAGTCGCTTTGCACGTGAGATTCTCGATACAGACTGGAAACTAAAGCTCTCCAGCACAAATACATATGCTCTACTTTCTGTGACGCAAACAAGTGAGAACGTTACAATACTTCCGCAAGAGCACCGTCGTACGCCAAGAAATGTGGAACTGTTCTGCCAAGCCTCACTGTGAAACTTCAATCAGTTCTATAACCACGGAATATGCAAGCCATTATTATTACGATCTCAGGCAGATGTATGTCGACAGTCCAGTCTTTTTCTCTTGTAACTCTCTTTCTTGCGCGAACAGGAGCACCAGATGCTCATGGGCCTGACGTCGACACAATTTTGGACTGGCCACTTTCTGTCGGCATTCGTGGTGGCCGTCCTGGAAGGCATCTGCACACTACTCGTCATCTACTTCAGCGTCGAAGACTTCCCTCCACCGGCTGGTTTGAACCCGAAGCAGCCGAGATACGCCTGGCTCGCCTTCCGGGCCGGGAACACCGACGACGACTCGCAAGACGCCACGGACAAGCCGGCTCGATACAAGGCTGTCAGCCTGGATTTCTTGGACGTGCCTTACGTCCAGCACGTGGACGTGACGCTGCTTCTGGTCAACTTCCTGATTTTCCACGTGTCCCACACCACACTGGCAGTGCTCGTCGCGTGCGTGGTTCCCGTCGGTGCGTCTACAACATTCGTCAGCCAGCGTTTGCGCATGCACGTCGTATATTTGAGCGGTGACTTGGTGTTCCTCGCTTCCAGAAAACAAGTCACTCTGGTACTCGGAAGTGTCACTTTCAGAACCGTAGCCAGAATGTTTTTTCAGTTCGAGTGGGGGGAGGGCCGCAATAATATGTACTTTATGTTCCTATTAAACACACATATACAAAATTGAAATATTTTGGCGGGAAAGAAGTTCAAGCTCCTTTCTCCTGGTTACGCAAGTGGTCACTATAAATGATCGCCATTTGGTAACTCACTAGGTTCATTGTGAGCGCTATAGAGCATTAGCAGTATTAAGCGCTTGCTCATATAGCAAGCTTGCAAGACATGGAAATCAGAGTTAACAGTTGACGCCCATGCAGCCAGAGCATAAAGACAATAGAAGCGCTGCGGAAGTACCCAAAAAGGATAACCTTCACGCTACAACGGGGCTGTAAAGAATAATATTGTTACTTGAATACTTTGCTGACCTTGAAGGCTTTTCAAAAAGTGAAGTGAAAGGCTGTAGCGCTCTGCATTAACACATGCAATTCCAGCAAACATGGCAAGCTTCCTCGCCAGAAACTGCATTACTTGTGTGTTTCTCCAAATGGAACACCGCCCACTTGCAGGCCGATGGGCGATGCTGTTGGGATTTGGAGTGTACTTCATCTTGCCCATCTGCGATGCCGACAACTTCAGCTTTCTATCGGAAGTGCCGATGAGTGACTACCTTGTGGAAGACCGGCTTAGCAAGCTGCGAAAATGCGTCTACCCAAACTATGCGATGTCTACCGTGATGAAGATAATTTGCATCTTTGCCGACTTCGAATGTAAGTATGGAAAACCAGCACACGCATCAACTCAGAAAAATGAGTTAGTTTTAAGGAAGTGGTAACACATTATTAGTTAGTATTGCACAACCTTACAAAACCAACAGACAATAATGGTAATCGAGCTGTAGGGGACAAAAAGTAACATGCTGCAGGTAGAGCTGAACTTAGAAGCATATAGGCGTGCGCAGGATTGCTTTCACAGGGGCTTAAGGTTGCTCGCAGCGCCCCCCTTTCCATTAAGTCTCCATGTATGAGGCTGACTTTGCCCCCCCCCCCCCCCTCATTAGTCTCAGCATTCTTTTTATTATGCCATTGTGTGGAGCTGTCCTTGTGCCTCCCACCCCTTCTTAGGTGGCTATAGGGGCAGCCGTCCTTTATCCCCCTCCCAACCCCATGCGCACGTCCATGCCTATAACCTTCTGACTGAGCCTATAACCTGCAGCCTTCAATTAGTCGAGCATCAGACGCATTATCCGCGGCTGTAGGTTGGGTCCATACCTGCTGTTAAAATGTTTTTTTACCTATTTGAATAACGTGTTCTGTTATAATAATTGTAAGACAGTAAAAACATGTGAGCGCTGTACCTGTACTTTCTTTATTGAGGTTATGTTCAGGTTGTGTGAAGTTCTGTATGACAAAAGAAACGAACCCTCTCTGATTCCCGCCTCTTTCATTGCAGGCGTAACTGTACCATGACACCTCTTGTTTGAAATTGCTCCCTCGCTGTAGCCATACAAGCTACCTAAGATTGTCCTCATTTCTATAGTTGCACGATGTACAAACATGACACATATTTGGCACAAGTCCCGTCTTTTCTTGACCTCGCTACTTTGTGCCGTCATTAATTTTTAGGCCAAGCTATAAGTAGCCAAAGAACGCTTTTCAGAAAGTCATTCGTGCCGCTGAAACGTAATAATCATCATGATCATCGTCATAACTACGAGCGCAGTGGATGCTGGCTGGAACGTGGTGGACAAGTTCGCGCAGGGCTGCGACAGCGTTACCATACTGGAGGTGTGGGCAGTGATGGGGCTCGTGATCCTGGGGGCTGTTGTACTAATTTGGTACCTGTCACACGTGCTACCTTGGACCAATGCCTCGCCCGACAGACTGTACTTCCCACTGCTGGTTAGTATACGTTTTTTCAAGCGTCACCCCCTAGACAATATTTGAACATTGAACGTAATGCTTATGGCTGTGTACGCAGTCGTATACACAAAAATAGACCAGCCTGTGTAGCTACCCAAATACAGCATACAGACGATTGGTATTAGTTACGTAATAGCTACTCATGAGTCGTACTGTAAGTACATTACTCAACATTATTCAGTGGCTACAATATTTAACCAGGAAGTAAATCAGCTTGTCATCCCTGTGAGCTTTGGAAGTCGTCAGTTGACACCACGCGAGATCTTCCCCAGCTCTACGAAAAAGAACAAAGAACTGTTGATTACATGGGAAATGTTTATTCAAGAATTCCCACTGCAATGAACGCTTCTGTAGCGCTATTTTTGCAGAGCTGGGATCTACGAAAGAGCAGCTTCACCGAAACCATGGGTGGCGCTGAGGCAGATATATTTTTGTAAACGTTTTCTTGTGTGTATCTCAACTTGTGTGTGAAAATCTTGAGATATTGCGTCAAATGTCGGTTCGCAGGTACAGACTTGAATAAAAACCAGAAAAAAAAACATGGGGGATCCTCTTTTTGAGAAATCGGTGTAACACGATTGTGAAACGTGTATTCACCGAGATAGTTGAGTATTTATTTTGCATTGTTTCTCCACAAGGGCGAAAGAATGTAAGGTACAGCATCACACTGCAGTTTCATGCAAAGAACGGCAAGCAGCTCAAAACTTACAGTGCGCACCTCATGCGGAAAGCGCGCGCGGAATGAGCATACACAGCACGACCATGGACAAACAACTGTCTATGCTCAACGCTTGAAGCACGCTGCCCAAACAGAAAGAAAGATGCTCGAAACGAACGCAGAAGCATACAGAGAACGAGTGCGAGCAACTGTCACAGTTATTACTTCATCGTACTTGATCAAAGTGCTGCTTTCGTAAACGCGGCCGCGGCAGCGAGCGAATTCAACGAGTCCAAATTACTTAACGCGACGGCATGTTAAATACTTGGTGCAGTGTGTCCATTTTTATTTGTTGCCTTCCGAGGTCCTAATAATTAGAAAAACCACTTATATTAATTCTGTGAGCAATATATAAAGTTTACTGCTGAATGGGATACACTACAGCGTTTGAACGCTCCATGGTTTCGTCTTTCTATTATAACTGGCAGGACAGCATACAGCCAGTTTCAATATATCTGAACAAGATCAAAACTTGAGGCACTGCTGCATGTTATAAGTAAGATCTCCCCAGAAATTAACTGTATCTGCTTTTATTTCAGAAGTGAAAGGAGTGAGCTATGCTTCACTGCAGTTACGTGACGTTGTCACTCAATAGTTTTACCTTTCGCCTAAATGCGCCGAACTTAAACTATTCTTAGAAAGGGCATCTCGTGTCACGTGTACAACAAGTACTATATAAGAGAGATTGATTGCAGACGGCAATATAGAGGTTTGTAAAAAAAAACACACACACAACCGGATTTATTTAAAAGTGTCTTTACACCAGACATTATTCAATGTTCTAATATGTTAAGGCAAAAACGAGTTAAAAATTTTTTTTCGATGAAAATGCAGTTCTCGCGCTTACCCCGAAGTTGTAGTTTTGAAATTCTAGCTATGAGAATAACATTGCAGCGTGGGATGGTATGCACAATACACTTATTAATCTTATATTTGTGCGACCTAGTAAACCTCTAACAAAGCCATAAACTACAGCGCTCATCAATAGAGTGAATATCTGTGCATATTTAAGTGCTAATATATATACATCAGACTTGACGACAGGTAACTGCAAGTTGGTGACCGTGATATTGTGTTTTTCCGCCCTTCTTCAGCCAAGCTACTGGTGCCCCCGTCCATACGTCATTAACTTGGCGACAAAAGGGGAACCGCTTAACGCTGATCGCTTCGAAGCACTGCCCCAAACACCAGCTGTGGTGGAGTGCAAGAATTTGGTCAAGGTACAAGCTTCAAGAAATATAGTCATTTTATTGACTCGTTATTTCAAACTTTACTGCGACAGCATACTGACCACCAATGCCCTGCATGACAAATGCCAGCGCGCCTAAATTTTTTAATTGGCTTTTATTGGTTGTGAAGTGTATTTTCCGGTTGACCATGTTTCCTGCTGAATAAAACGTGAATCGCGTGGTGGTATAAGTTAGTAGAAAGCCGTATGCATTTTTTGTACAAGATATAATAGTAGCACTGCCATAGAGAAGTGGGTGGGGTTGGGGATTTCAGGTTTTCTTTTTTCCTCAAAATTTAGCGGTTTTGTATGCGTGCAACACACACATGCATACATACACCCCAGCGAACATGAAGTATGGCATTAACACTCCGCCCCGTCTTTTACATCTGCGAAAAATAGTTGTGGATACGCTACTGATTAGTACCATTCGTGATAAAGACAACTTATTTTTGTTTTGTGGATATTTGCGACAGAGAAGACAAAGAGATGGTGTTTATGAAAGTTTTTAAAGTTTTGCATGCCCTCGCGGTGTGCTGCCATTACGGCTTTGTTGACCCGTATGTTGCAGCGCATGCTGTGCCCGCACTGGTGCAGCGTTGTCGTGGTTATAGAACGACACACGTTAAGCCGTTTCAGGGCACCTTAAAGCATGTGTGTTTTTGCAGTGTAAAATAATGATTACAGAACATTCTACTTCTCGTACCACGCAAGCTTGTTCACGTGTAACACTCGTATACCTTCTTGTGGCTACCAACGTTTCGTTCCTCGCTTGAAACCACAAGCTTTCTCCGTGCGAAATGTAGAAAAGACTGTTTCGTCTAGCCTCACTCGATAGACCTGTTAAATGCGTTTGTAATACGTCGGATGCCGTAACCCTAAAGTTTTCGAACTGTTGGTAAAAGTATCATAATAGCAATTTTGAAAGCAAATGCGCGACAGTGATAGCACACGAAACTGTTACCATATGAAGCATAGGTCAATATCTCCACTGCATGTACATGAGACGTCCCCCGCTACGCCACCGATCGCCAAAAAGAGGGAAGAACACTCAACCCTTTTTATCCGGTTCCCTCTTGGCTACGTGTCTCAATCACTTTCCACATACAGGGATTCGTGCTGGGGCCGGGAAGTAAGAGACGTTACGACCTGTTTCTGTTTACTGGTTCATTTAATTCATAAATGCAAACATCGTAGAACCGCGCACATCAACCACTACACAAAATTATAACACGTGATCTTAACACTCGCGACATTTGACACAGGGCAGGCACATAAAGGAAGTAACTGTAACAACACAAGGTAATGCATATATAAAGCAAACACGCGACGACACAGATGATAAGGTCATTAATTAACAAAACCGCGCAATGTCCCAATTTGCCGCATCCCTACCCGCAAAGCTCATTTAAGTAAGGGAGATGAAGTTCGTCTCACAGACTGTCCATGTTGACGGGGGCCTCGGAGCTGGCTGTTCGAGTTGGGGCTCAGGGCTTCTTCCTGGTGTCATTGTCCGATTCGTCGGCGCCTTCATCGTCTTCGTCATCGTCGCCTTCGTCGTGCCTCTCAGAATGCTCCATTCACTCGCCTCCTATCCCCAACTTTCATTCCTCATCGTACTGTCTTTGCCCTAGTCATCATCTCATCGCTCCTCATCGCTATCTCTTCGACTCTGTTCGCATCGTATCTCTGACTCCGAGTCGGGCCCGAAGGTTGGCTCTTCACGTCGCGGTCTGATCTGTCCCCTTCCGTCGCCGTCTACTTCTTTTTCTCCCCTGGGAGAGACCCTCCTCGCTTCTCCCCTTTCTTGACACGTGGCCGCTTTTCTCGGGTTCCCACTCTGCCCTACCGGGGCACCGAACCAATCGCCGCTCTCCACGCAGCATATTTTCTTCACTGTCCGGAGTGTATTATCTTCGGCGGCCGCCCCCGTGGCCTACACCAGTAGAAAACCCTCTCCCGAACAAAGCCGAGCAAGTAAAATGTATAAACTCAGGCTTCAGGGAGAGTGATGGGCGCGCCGTCCGAAGACACTTTAATTACGGGCGAACAATGGTCTCGATGCTTCCGTTACTTGGTGAGCCGATGTCGAGACCAAGTCTCAACGTTTCTATGCAGCTCGGTGTCTCCCACGAAATTCTCCGCAGCCGCCGCCTCCTCGTCGTTCACCGTCGCGGGCGGCCATCCGCGCAGAACGCAGTAAGAGCCCTGGCGCCACGGAGACTGATGGAAAGGCATAATGGACCCGGCACAGGCGCTTGCCACAAAGGTCGCTTTCCCTGAACCAACAAAAGGTGTTCTGCTGCTCCCCCATGCCACAGATCTGAAGGGTGCGCGCCGATTATTGTACTCTGTCACATCGTCTGTAGACGACAAGGCGCCGCCCGGTCCTCGTGCCCGCGCGGGGGAGTCCGTGAGGATAATAGAAACAATCCTTCTGGTACTTAACTCCGGAATGCCCTCTATGCGTGGGTTTGAGAAACGAGCGCACACATCTCGAAAGGAGCGGGGTTCAGTCCGTGTTTGCGGGGACGTCACAATCCCTTCATCTTGCAGAAGAATTTTCCCAGTGGGGAAATTCAAACACGAGAAATGCGGGCGCATAACGCCTTCGGGTTGCGCAGCGAAATTGAGACATTGCGGCAGTCTTAGGAATACTATACGCGAACACAGTACACTTGAGAGTCAGCCGTGGCGGTGGCGCGTCGCTGAGAGGAACCAATTTGTGGTTGTCGCTGAATCATCACCCACCACGAAGCAGTTTGATTCCGTACTTCTACCGCGCACAACACACTTGAAACCTTCAGAATCACTGCAGAAACCCGTGGATGACGCGTGGACAAAAGGCACACTGGTCACAGCTGTTCGGATGGTTTGGCACGCAGCGTTCAGTCATGAATGCGGAAGGTTCACTACCATGCGAGCACATCACACATTTCGCCGGCACTGTTCACTCTCGGCACAACCGAACATAGGAATACACACATTTAAGTACACTTTCATTTCACACATGCACAAAATTTTAAGATCTTATCGAACACTTCAACCAAACGAAAAGCAGGATTGCGGGAATACATTGGTCATACAGGCCGCAACACTGAATTACCCTCGCGTACCATCTCCTGCCTCGCCTCATTTCAAAACACAATCAACAAAATAAAACAAGTGTACAAGCCAAAGCAAAATAATATAAAAAACTTAAACTTCGACAGAAGGTCTTTACTAAAGTAGCATTACAATGGCCAAGTGGAAATTATAAAACATAAAATGGCAAACAACATTGCGGACTCTTATGACCCTAGCCGATCCCCGAGCGCTCAGCGTCTACCTGTATGCAGACTTCTTCCTCGACTCCGAGTCCCGGACCCTCATTAGATGGTCCGAACTTCAGTCTACTCAACCCAGTCGCGGACTGGGGCATGTGCGAAGCTTTCCTATAAGACCACCGCTGCGCGTGCCCGGGTTTGGTGCGGTGTACATCGAGTGTGCTGCAGTTCCCCTCTGGCCCCACAAAACCCACCCCGTTGCGATCTAGGTACTCCTCAATCTCATTTACTCTTTCCAACGTTCGGTCTATCACCGTGTCGACCAAGACTCCGACAACTGTATCCTCAGACAACCCATTCTCATTCGACTCCATATCTGCTACTCCTACGGGTAATGCCTCATCGTCTCGTGGGACCTTCGAGGTAGAAACCGCAGCTAAACCATCTGCACACGCTCCAGCAACCTCGACAACCTTTCTTTCACCCAGTGGCACCGGGGTGCCAGCTTTCTTCTCAAACACACATTCGCTCAATGGCGGAACATCCTCCTCGATCACGGAAATTACATAAACCGCTTCCGCACACGCTGAACCGTGACTCGTTTTTACGGAGCTTCTTTCCTCGTGAATATTTACGGTCGCGATTGACCTCTGTGCGTCACTGTCATGAGGAGGAGTTGCGTCTAGGTTTTCAGATTCGAATTTTGTCACCATCTCCTTGTCTTTGTGAATGCGGCTATCACCCATCGGATTCCAATTTCGTCGCCGGTACCGGTGGCATTCTCGCCGAATGTGACCAAACCTGCCACAGTTATAGCACCCGCCGGGATAAGGTAGCTGCTTCTGGAATTCCTGCGAATTTTGTTTCACCTTATTGCGTACTGCCAAGTTCTCCACAAGTTGTTCGAGGCGGTCAAGGCGGCTATGCATCTCATGAACATCCATGTCCTCTTCTACGTATCGAATAGGTAACGAATGGCTGCTCGACACTTTCTCATTCTGTTCCTCCTTGACCGCTATGGCAATGGCCTCGTCAAACGTTTTTGGGTCTCGAGAGAGAACAAATCTGCGGACCGGATCCCTCAGGCCTAATAAAAATTGCGAGAGTAATTGTTCAGCTAGAATTTCGCGGCGCAGTGAAGCTTTCACCGGATCCTGACTATCGGAGCTCGCCAGGGTGGCGGTCCCGAGGATGCGCAAGCGACTTGCAAATGACCGCACCTCCTCCTCTGCCCCCTGCCTCGCGTTTAAAAACTGCTCCGTTTTAAAGATAAGTGGCTCCGTATCGAACCTCTTGAGGGCCAAACATTTGAATTCAGAAAAATTTGAAGCCGCAGCGACGCCATCATCCCACCACGCAAAATCGTGCGCCGCGCCTACCATCTTGCATCGTGCTATGCAGATCAGCTCATTATCCCGCCATCCACCCAAGTGACCAACCTGTTCCAAAATTTCCAAGAAAACCCCAATATCCGGACCCGTATCACCTCCCGTAAACGATGGAACCATGTCCGCTAACATTAGCGTGCTCATTTCGAGTAGGTCGTCTCTGTCGGTCATCTTGGTAGCCTGCTCGTTCGTTTTGTCGCCTCTCCTTTCCTAGTACAAGGGTGAAATCTCGCACCGTTGCCCCAGCAGTAATCCCACCGCTGCCACCACTTGAGACGTCCCCCGCTACGCCACCGATCGCCAAAGAGAGGGAAGAACACTCAACCCTTTTTATCCGGTTCCCTCTTGGCTACGTGTCTCAATCACTTTCCACATACAGGGATTCGTGCTGGGGCCGGGAAGTAAGAGACGTTACGACCTGTTTCTGTTTACTGGTTCATTTAATTTAATACTAAATGCAAACATCGTAGAACCGCGCACATCAACCACTACACAAAATTATAACGCGTGATCTAAACACTCGCGACATTTGACACAGGGCAGGCACATAAAGGAAGTAACTGTAACAACACAAGGTAATGCATATATAAAGCAAACACGCGACGACACAGATGATAAGGTCATTAATTAACAAAACCGCGCAATGTCCCAATTTGCCGCATCCCTACCCGCAAAGCTCATTTAAGTAAGGGAGATGAAGTTCGTCTCACAGACTGTCCATGTTGACGGGGGCCTCGGAGCTGGCTGTTCGAGTTGGGGCTCAGGGCTTCTTCCTGGTGTCATTGTCCGATTCGTCGGCGCCTTCATCGTCTTCGTCATCGTCGCCTTCGTCGTGCCTCTCAGAATGCTCCATTCACTCGCCTCCTATCCCCAACTTTCATTCCTCATGGTACTGTCTTTGCCCTAGTCATCATCTCATCGCTCCTCATCGCTATCTCTTCGACTCTGTTCGCATCGTATCTCTGACTCCGAGTCGGGGCCGAAGGTTGGCTCTTCACGTCGCGGTCTGATCTGTCCCCTTCCGTCGCCGTCTACTTCTTTTTCTCCCCTGGGAGAGACCCTCCTCGCTTCTCCCCTTTCTTGACACGTGGCCGCTTTTCTCGGGTTCCCACTCTGCCCTACCGGGGCACCGAACCAATCGCCGCTCTCCACGCAGCATATTTTCTTCACTGTCCGGAGTGTATTATCTTCGGCGGCCGCCCCCGTGGCCTACACCAGTAGAAAACCCTCTCCCGAACAAAGCCGAGCAAGTAAAATGTATAAACTCAGGCTTCAGGGAGAGTGATGGGCGCGCCGTCCGAAGACACTTTAATTACGGGCGAACAATGGTCTCGATGCTTCCGTTACTTGGTGAGCCGATGTCGAGACCAAGTCTCAACGTTTCTATGCAGCTCGGTGTCTCCCACGAAATTCTCCGCAGCCGCCGCCTCCTCGTCGTTCACCGTCGCGGGCGGCCATCCGCGCAGAACGCAGTAAGAGCCCTGGCGCCACGGAGACTGATGGAAAGGCATAATGGACCCGGCACAGGCGCTTGCCACAAAGGTCGCTTTCCCTGAACCAACAAAAGGTACTTAAGTAAAACTTCTTTTGGGCCTAGTTGGTTCATAGCCATAGAATATACTTTTACAGCGCAAACATAAAACGATCCACAAAGAAAGCGACGACACACACCAGCGCTGACAACAACAAAACCACCCTCTTTATCCGCCTGCATGAGGCAAAGGTCGTTAGCCCTCAGAAAGGACACCGCGCGTCGGACACAACGATCTGAATGCCGGGGTGGGCCTTTTGGCACCTGGACTGTATGGATTCTGCCTGCGTAAGGGGCTTGTGCCGACAGATGTGAGAGCGTTTTTCGGCCCTGTGACCCCGTCATGGTCCCATGTCAAGAGGCTATGCAAATTATTACGTTCAGAATTATGGCGGCAAGTGCGACTATTCAGGGACTGGATTTGGGCGCTTTGTCATTCAACTGATCCTGATTGGCTGGCTCTGAAGAAGTTCCGCTCTTGTGTTCGACTAGCGGCTCAACTAACGGAAGCAAATTGGAACAGTATGGTGAGAATTTTGTGCCGCTCTGGTGAAAAATCTGCCCCGGTTGTAAAGAAAAAGGTGAAGGTGATTGGAAATGCTAACCTGCCTGATGACGTAGAACAATTGCTGGCGAAAGGCCCAAAATTCTGTATACCTTCGCATGTTCCTGCGCATGATCTGATTGCAATGAATAGAAACATCGCGTCTAAAGCGAAGCAAGATTCCCGCGATCAATGCCTACTTGAGGGTGTAGTAAGTTTAGAAAAGTCGGTGCCAAAAGGCCCACCCCGGCATTCAGATCGTTGTGTCCGACGCGCGGTGTCCTTTCTGAGGGCTAACGACCTTTGCCTCATGCAGGCGGATAAAGAGGGTGGTTTTGTTGTTGTCAGCGCTGGTGTGTGTCGTCGCTTTCTTTGTGGATCGTTTTATGTTTGCGCTGTAAAAGTATATTCTACAACAAAAGGTGTTCTGCTGCTCCCCCATGCCACAGATCTGAAGGGTGCGCGCCGATTATTGTACTCTGTCACATCGTCTGTAGACGACAAGGCGCCGCCCGGTCCTCGTGCCCGCGCGGGGGAGTCCGTGAGGATAATAGAAACAATCCTTCTGGTACTTAACTCCGGAATGCCCTCTATGCGTGGGTTTGAGAAACGAGCGCACACATCTCGAAAGGAGCGGGGTTCAGTCCGTGTTTGCGGGGACGTCACATACAGTACACCACATTATTAGTGCTAGTACAGCTCAACCAGGAAAATTTCGGCACAAGAAAGAAGCTATTGAACTACCAAACATAGCAGCTGCGCACAAGAAAGCATACAAACAAGCTAAAAGTGATACCTAATTTTCTCGTTTACTGCGCCTGCATTATATGCAGAATTTCGGCAGCTTGACTGCCCTGGACGGAGTCAATCTGTCGGTACACAAGAACCTCGTGACTGTCTTGCTGGGGCACAATGGAGCCGGAAAGACTACGCTCATGAACATATTAACAGGTAACCGTATAAGTCATGCTACAAGTGTCCTTTTTTTTTGTCCATTGTGCGAAGCGATACATAGTGACTGGCTTTACTGCGTAATATTTTGACGCACTCTACTGAAGTAAGCATCTTGTTGTACTTGTAGCAGCACAACTTACGCCAGCAAACTTGGGTTTACTGGTCTACATTCCTTTGAAGGGATATCTTTTCAACAACATTTTTGACTAGGCTTGTTGGTCTTTGATGACGCTACTGTTACTGTTAAAACGTCATGTGTAAAAAAAGGCTGATTTTTTAAGCTATATGACAATCTTTGATAAACATGCGAATAATACAGCTTTAATAGTGCTTATCCCCCTAAAGAGTTTTTGTTCTATTGGGACGAAAACTGTCATGCACGCATTTATTATCGTTGCGTGACATAAACTATTACTTGTTACTATTTTCAAAGACAAATTGAGACCTCTACTCACGTATGTGGAATTCTGTACGTTTTATACGTATACGTGTGTGGTCCATCGAAAAAAAATTCAATTGTAGTCGATGCCTGTCTTCGTCTGTCTCTTCTCTTATTCGTTGATGTGTTAAAGTGCGTTTTAAGCTATTACCGGTTCGACGCTTGCAAATGGCTTGCATACAGTTTGTGATGCATACAGTAGGTTGACCTTCCGCAGCTGCGCTTATAAAAATGTTTAGAAGCACAACTACTGATATTTGAAGGAGAGAGAGATTGCTCATACCTAATAACCGCTTTTGTTGCGTGAACCCCATACATTGACGTGCTTTTTATGGTTTTTACATGCAGTTGTCCACGGCTCTTAGAAGCCGTACAACTGTTGACGCGCAAACCAGTAATTACTAACGTTCGATGAACCAAGGGGATTGTACACAATCTTTGCGTGCAGTCTTTTCAGTTGGTAAACTTGTTTAACGTGTCTTTTGAAAAAAAAAAAAAAACATTCGTATAGTGGAAGCATTTGTGGTTGAAACTTTATATAACGTAACCTTCTATGCGTTAGACATATTTAAGAAACGTTGAGATCGCTACAACAATAAGTTAGCGAGATGTAGATAAGACTGGCACAAACTATAAATTTACGACATGATGATAGCTCATGCAGGAGTGCTTCTCGCTGCGTCATTTCATAGCAAATGAGGATTTTAAAGGAAACTCCCTAGGTCCCTCGTGCCAAAATAAGAGCACAGGGAAGACGAAAGCCATTGTTTTTTTTCTCTCACTCAATTCGTCCTCCTCCACCACACTCCGAAAGCTTTTGTTGCGAAAGCTGCACTTGCCGTATTCTCGCCGTTTCGATTTGACTGGTGGATCGCCGCGCCATATAGCATGACGTCAGAAAAGGAGCCAGTGAAGCTGTGTTGCAACCACGTTTCCAAATAAGGTCACCCTTCTGTGTGCTTGTTTTAAGTGGGGCAGATGGGAATTGGGCGGGGAAGATGAGATTAAGAAGTATGGAGGTATAACGTGACAACCGGAGGCGGGCACTTACCAATTTTCACGTTGCGTGAAACATCTAAGGCTTTCGTCTTGATAAATGTCTTTTTTTTCGCATCGCTGCTCGTGTCTCGAGGGGTACGCTACGCAAGTTCTCGGTTATTTATTTCTACTGCAGGACTGGTACAGCCGAGCGGTGGTACAGCAACAGTGGCTGGCTGGGACATCAACACATCGGCTGCACGACGAGAAGTTGGCTTTTGTCCCCAAAAAGATATCTTTTTCGACGACTTGACTGTCGAAGAGCACTTGCAGTACTTCGCGGTTGTGAGTGGCACTCAATTTTGCGAGGCACTGCGCGTAATAATATTGGTCACTGGATTATCAAAGAACGTTTTGAGGCTGTTCTTTGAACTCTATGAATGTCTATTTCAACTATTTCGTTTAAGATCTATAGTCATACTCTTCTAGTGCCCCATATCTGAGAAGAGTTGCTGTTTGAGCTATAGAGAGAACAAAGGAGTCACAATGATAGTAAGCGGAAATACGAGATGAGGTACAAAGGATAACAAACTCATCCAGTGACGATATTGCCGAAATGCAGTGGCATGATCGTTTGGCGCTCAGAGGACGTCTAGAGCAGTATTTTGGTTTGGAATACTCGGTTCATTGTCAGATTTGCAAGGACGTGGCTCCGGAAATACACAGGGACAAAATAGAAACTCAGTAGACAATACGGTAATTTCTATTGTCTCTCTTCAAACCTGTGTTTTTGTACTACCCCTTTCTAAGAATTTCAATAGCGTCTAGGTCACACTGATTCATACAAGCACACACTACAATTCACTCGCACAAATTTAGCTCGATACTGATCAAATCTTACAAATTACGCCCATGCAATTTTTGCGGTTTCATTGCCATACCTGTGTCTAACAGTGCACTGGCTCCATTATCTTTTGCGATTTTTAAACTTTATTATCTGATACATATAAAGAAGGCAGGTAGGAAGCACTTGTAGAAAGTAATTCACCGAAGCATTTATCTTCTACAGAGATTTCTTTGTTTCACCAGCTAAAATGTTCACTTTGCACGTATACACCTACAGCAGAGCTGAACCAATGTTCTCCTGAAATGCCAACTAGGACACCAATAAATGTTCATTAAATGTTTTCGTATCTACTGCAGCTCAGAGGTGTGGATGATCCTGGCAAACGGGTGGAGACACTACTCGAAACTCTGCGGCTGACAGACAAGGCCTCGCAATATCCTTCGGAACTGTCCGGAGGCCAAAGACGGAAGTTGAGCGTTGCTGTGGCAATTGTGTCGTCACCACAGGTAATGGTTTAATTAAGGTATTTTGTGTTTCATTGTCTATTTTGCTTACGTGCCGTGCACCAACGACACGCTTCCTCCACGGCGGTTCATGGCATTGATAAATGTGCGCACCATAGCGCAGCTGCTAACGCTCATGCTGCCACGTGGGGGTAGCTGTGCGCACAGCTACTATAGAATCATTACTGTTAGAGGGTCCCTGCAACACTTCTTTGAACATGAGGAGAAAACGCTGCTGATCGGTAGTCGAGACAGCCGAGAACACGCGAGACCAATGTACAGTGCGGTGCAGGGCTTCAAATTTCCAATTCACAGTCAGCCCAAAACCACTCCATTTTTTATGACAATGATGTCGTGTACCCAAATTACTGCGCAGTGGTTCCAGTTTGAGCAACGCTTCGTTTATTTCTTTCAATGTCAGTGCAAATGTGTGCTCCTCAACAGATGCCGTCAGTTCACAAGGTAGTGGTCGTGGTGCGATGCCGCATGTAGGGTAGAGCTGCTTGGTAAGACGTGCGTCCGAGCTCTTTCCCAGAGAAATGTCGTTTCCCTCTTCATTATCATACGTCAGTCATAATTTTTCGTTCATTCTCTTTTTTAGTCGTTTTGTCGTTCGAACCAATGCCGTCGCCACCTCACAGCGCTCTTAAAGTCCGTGCATGCAGCAGCGTCGCAGTGACGCTTCTCCATTGGTTGCCCGCACAGCACGACAAACGGCGACACGCTATCCCAAAACACCGAATATTTTACAGAGACAGCGTGAGCGCCAACATTGTGAACACGAGCAATTTCAGGCGCCGACCCACTGATCTGTACACAACTGAACAAAAAAGCACAACATATCCATCGAGTGAATGAACACGAGTGAGGCGTAGCGTCCGTCAGCTAGTCCGTGCTTCCACCCGTCCATTCGTTCTTGCTTCCGTCCGTCCGCGCGACCATCCGTGCGTCCATCCATGCGTCAGCCCGTCTGTCCATGTGTCCATCCGTCCGTACGTCCATCTCCTAGTCTGTCCGTTCGTACGTGCGTTCATCTAGTGAACACTCCAAGTACCGCCAGCTAGCATCTCACATACTCCGTGGCACATACCCGCTCCACGCGTCCACCCATCCGTCCATCCGTCTGCTACTTTGTCTGTCCGTCCATCCATGCGTCCGTCCATGCGTCCGTCCATGTGTACGTCTAGTGAACACTCCAAATACCACCATCTGTCATCTCGCATACCGGTGCCTAAGTGCGATAACGACGGATGATGGACAGACCCCTGCCTTAAGGAGCTTCACCCCTAAAAATTACTTGTCATGATTTCCGTGTTCAGGTACCGTATGATGGTTTCTATTCCCTAAGGCCGCAAAGCACATGTGAAATATAGGTGATGGGCGAGTGCAAGAAAGAGCTAGAGGAGAGGGTGGTGAACGGCAGGATCGGGCGCATCTGGCTGGCATTTAATAAATAGAGGGGGCGCTGATTTGAGCATGATGAGCTCCGTAGTCACAATGGTCACTATAAGATGGCGATACGTGCTCACGCACGAGCACACGACCACGCTGAAAGCTGCAGGTTAGAAGAAAAAAAAAAAGAAAGATGCTCGAGGTAGTAAGGTGTGCGGACAAAGGGACACGATTTTTTGGCCTTCTGTTCATCTCTGTCCCTGAGTACCTTTCAGTGCGCTCTTTGGCACGAATGGAGGGTGATATATATATATATATATATATATATATATATATATATATATATATATATATATATATATATATATATATATATATATAAATAGAAAAAGCTTGACGGATGCGACGAACTTCTGTAACTTCTCTCGTACTTCACAGACCTTCAAAATTTTTGCGCCGTATAATTTGTGAAGTGTCATGCGCTATTAGACAATTCCATTATAAACTTGAAGTGTGGCAGGGCCTCTTCATTATGCAGCTTTCGCGGCCAAACGCTTTGATTGTTTGCAAGCGCAACATCAGAGACCTCTAAAATCATGGTGCGCAAGCGAGCCTGTCCCATATTTTTGTATTTCGAGGCAAAACTGCTGTGAACAGATAGAAAGTAAGAGACCGCTGCCACGAAACCGTTTCCCATTAGACCTGTATTCGAAGGAGGTCAAAGCTGAAGGTGAGGGGGCGGGGGAGAGAGAAGTTTGAACAAAACGTCAGCTTTCGTGAAAGAACAAATTTCGTCCTATTAGCTACGTGAGTCAGCTTTGAAATGGATTCAGCGTCAGGTTTAGAGAAGGATATTGATTTCGACATGAGCCGGGCACGTAGCCCTTAGGCAGGATAACTGCTGGTCATTGAGGGTAACTGACTTGATATCAAGAGCAGGGCAAAGACGTGAGGGGGAGACAAAGTCTAGTTGGCAAATGAGATAAAGAAGTTTACAGGTATAACGTCTCAGCAGGAAACACAGGACCGGGTTGATATGAAGAACACGGAAGAGGCCTTCACCTTGCGCGTAGTCAGACTGCTGCTGATGATCGATATCCATATAGGCGTCCTCAGGCTACTTCTCAGGTGGGAGCAGAGTAAGGTATCTTTGCGCCCCCCCCCCCCCTCCCTCTCGGTTTGTCGGCTCAAGGGGCACCACGCGTCACAACAAAATATATGAAATAAAAAATGACAGTGAAGCGATGACGCACTTTCCACAACGGAAGTAAAGATTGGAAGTATAAATGAGTTTTTGAATGCAACCTCAGGTGCCTTCGGCCGCCTTCCATTGTGAAGAAACTCCGCAGTCATAACTCGGTAAACATATGGTGCAAATGTCGCGCCCCCTTCCTCGCCATGACTCACTCGTGTTCAGATGATCTCTAGCATTACAGAAATCTGGACGCCGATTCTGACGTAGGGCTTTTGTTCTACTGTCATGTTTCAACATATGGTGATAGGGTTGCCTCACGAAAAGGGTGCGCTAGAACAGCCACGTTTGTGCAGCTCATGAATACTCAAGAAAAATAATGCCGTTGCTTGCTCGGCTATGCCGAAATAAACGTAGCAGGAGCTACGGACGGATGGACTAGTGAGTGAGCTCACGCAAGTAAAATAAGCACCAGCTCACTCCAGGAACTTCCAGGCCTTCGCCGGCGTGCCAGCATGCGCCGTGGGACGTGACTGCTGCTCGGGCATTCTTAAGCACAGCTTTCGATAAGTCACGGGAAACTGCTCAATCTCGGCCAGTGTAGCTTACGCCGCAAAAGGGATGAAGATAGGCAGTCATGTGCGGGTCAGGTCGCGTCTTTGAATACGTGGCTGTAAACGGCACCACCGTATAAAATTTAGAAGATACGGTTACTCTTATTGAAACAGCTTTCCGACACGTTAGGTACTGGCTAAGCAAAAAAATTCACAGTGACCAAATTTAGCCGCTTGATGACTTACTCTTTTTTTTTTCCAAGTTGCTCATTCTCGACGAGCCCACATCAGCCATGGATCCTGAGACGAGGCGATCCTTCTGGAAGCTAATCGGGCGCTTCCGGGGACATAAGACTGTGCTCATCTCGACGCACGACATGGAGGAGGCGGATGCACTTGGCGACAGGATCGTCATCATGCACAGCGGAAAGGTCATCTGCAGCGGTTCGACCAACTTTCTCAAGATTGCCTGTGGTGAGTTCGTCCCTATGGGAACAATATTCAGTTGCTAAAACATTTATATACTTTACTTCGCGACAGTTATTTGACGCTTCTTCAGCACAAGTTGCTGTTTACTGTTTATATAGAGTGTTCAAGATATCCTTGTGATACAGAACGGCGTTCCTGGTGTCTTGGACAATTATTTAAAACGCAAGAAGATATAAATTAAGCAAACATTGTTACGAGAATATGGGTCCAAGCTCAAGCTTCATTGAAAGGAGGTGTGTAGAACTTAGTCGCTGTTATTTTTGACAAATTATTTAGAAGTAAACGTGAGTGGCATTATTGTAAGTTTAAGCTAATGCTAAAGAATAACATTGTTCCGGATACTGCACATACACAGATAATAGTGCGTAAGATGCACAATGTAGGAAGGCTTGCTGGAGATTCGTGGCACACGGTGATACGGTGACAAATTTCAGAGGTGGGTTGGAATGCTAAAATCTGAATATGCCAAAATGTGGCCAAATGACCTCACTGATGTGTTTAAAAAAAAGCAATAAACATTAGAGCCTACCTAATCGCGACACAAACAAACAAAAATGATAGTTGATCTCTTTACAGAAATCCGTCACAGCACGAAGGTGATGTAGGCGGAGATATTGCTGTACTTTAACTAATACTAAAAGCATAAGAGCAGAAACCGCATGAAAATTAGCCATTTTCAATTTTTGTGAGGCATCTTCTTGTTTCCCTATTTTTTCTGCTACCACTGTCCATACACAAATTGCGTTCGTGCAATAACAATTGGTGGGAAGTCTGAACTTGTGTCGTGTGACTCATAATTTGTGACTTATCTTTTTTTTCATTTTGAAATGCGTTCCTTTTAACAATAGCGATTAGCCACTATTTTTTTTTATCCATCGACCACTTGCCGCGCGTCGCAGGAGTCGGTTACAAGCTTAACGTTGGCAAGGCTCCACAAGGATTCCATATTGACAGCATCATGCAGCTTGTGCGTCAGACGGCGCCTCTCGCAATAGTGGAGGACGAACGAATCAATGACGTCACCATCGCCCTGCATACGTTCAGCTGCGTCGGATTCGAGAACATGTTCCGGCATTTGGAGCACGCCGCCAAGAGGCTGGGAATCACGGGCGTCGGTGTGACCGTCTCCACCATGACGGACGCCTATCTGAAGTCAGTGGGGCGCGCTTGCCACCTCTCTCTGCTCAATGACTGTTTAGTATTTGTGGTGAACAGTGTTTAGAGGAAAAACATGGAGTTACACTGTTATACTCGTACTCTACTGTGGGAGAGTATGTTCCTTTCATAAGCCACTCGAGTCAGCAAAGTAAAGTTTATTCAACCAGCATACGGAAACACTATAGAGCCCCTTGCACACTAAAAGCATCAAAATTGCTACAGTGTATTTCAACCTCTAGGCGCAATTTCACCCAGGCTCCATAAAATACGCAAGTGTAGAGAAAGTGATTAACGATTCAGAGTACTTGGGACTACATTATGACAGAGCGGAAAGGTGTCCCAGTCAAACTGCAAGGAACATGCACAGTCTGTTTAGAATAAATAGAAAACGATTGAGAGTATGGTGTAGTATACTACGGAGAGCGCTAGGCTGGGTGTTTTAAAAATGGTCGATGATTTAGAGTACGACTCACTCGGCTATGGAAGAAACAGGAGACACCGTGAAGAAAATTGCGTGTTTAGAAAAAAAGCGTTTAAAGATTTAGAATACTTCGTATTCTACTATGGGAGAGCAGTGAGCCAATTAATATCATCAAACAACAACACAGGCGAGAGCTGTGATGTTATGAAAAAGTGTGGAACAATTTTTGTGTTTAGAAAAAAAAGTCGCAGCATATCCGTGGAGTGCATGATGATGAGTGGGACGAATCGTCCATCTGTCCGTCCGTTTGTTTTTGCTTCCATCCACCCGTGCGTCCATCTGTGCGACCATCCATGCGTCCATCTGTGCGACCATCCATGCGTCCATCCGTGCATCCGTCCATGCGTCCGTCCATCCATGCGTCCACCCGTCCACCCATCCGTGCGTCCATCCGTGCATCTGTCTGTCTATCCGTCCATCCATTCGACGTCCATCTAGTGAACATTCCGAGTGCCGCCATCTCACATCTTTCATCATACATTCAGCATATAAAAGTATCGTCATCCAGTGGGCATTCCAAGGACTAAACGAGAAGTGGCACTTTCGCACTTTCTTACGGCCTGCGCTTTGTGTATACTTCCCACCTTCCACCGCCTCTTGTTCATGGCTATATACTAACTCACTATATTCATGGCACTGCGGCCCAACCCTCGCTAAACCTTGCTAAAACCAAGGAGGTTGGGCCCAGCGAGTTTAACGTGGCAACCCTTTTTGGTCATATAGTGCTCAAAGTGCGTCCTTCTGATACTAGTTTTTTAGTACGCATGGAATTCAAGGCGAATTTTATTGAAGATTAGGTCACCAATACTCGTTATTTCATCAGAAAAAACTATCTTTTTATTTATGACTAACATGCGCGGATTTCCTACTCAATTGAAAAGGGTGCTCGCGGGCTCTGGAAATGGCTATCTACTACTACTACGACTACTAGTGCTAATAATACTAAACACATCGCAGACGTATGACCCAAGGCTTAGGGAGCTTCGCCCTCAAAACGTGGTTTACGATTTGGAGTACTAGGTACTTTACTATGGGCGAGTATGAAGCCGTCCCGTGTGGCTCATACTAGTTTTTGTCAAAACTACATAGAGCCAAAATCAGGCAAAGCCGGACTATTGGGGCGTTTTCGACCCAATAGTGATGCTACCATACACTACTTCGAACTTGCACCCGTTTGATTTCAGGTTTTTTCAGAATGTATAAAGCCAGAAATTATACCCTTTGCCGCGGGGGTCACTACGCATAAAGTCTTTTAGGTGTGCTTAGTATCCTTTCAGCTAACGGCACCAAACTGAATGTTTGAAGTTCACCTCTTTAAAGGGTCATGAATCATCCCTCGAGCTTGAAAAAAAAAACCCATTCTGCGGATAGCAGACACTGCTGTGAACACCTCAGTCAGAGCTTTAGGTGAGAAGCATAAATGGTTCCCTCGACCTGAGGTTGCCTTTTGTGTTTTAAAGAAGCCTTCAAATTTATATTTCGCAGAACTATACGCCAGCGAATGCTAACCTTATTTTAACCTAGTCAAAACATTCTACATCATGCACTGTGAATGTTTCCCTGCTAATTACCCATATTTTATTCATTATTTATTGCAGAATAAGCAATGACTACGCAGCGGAACAGAAGCGCCTGCAAAAAGAGCAACAAGAGATCGGGAAGAGTAAGTGTACAGTTGATTTTGAACGACAAAGTGGCTAAATTATTCAGTGATACTCTTATCACCAGTTACACACATTCTGTGGCACTGTCTCCCCAATGCATATCTGCAGCAGAGTTGAGCATCTCTCTTTTGTATGGAGCAGTAAAACGCCTGTTATAAAAAAAAAGAGCACCGTTTAGAAGAATGCTTTATTTTTCAATGAAATTGCTTACGAACATTTGTACGAAAACATTCGGATTCGTAGCCGACATGGCTAGTTAAGGTTCCGTTATAGACAAGGCATTTTCTTTATTTAGCGAGTAAAATCTTTACTCAGAGCATTAAATCACGGACTGCAAAATCAGAAGCAGACATTTAGGGGAAAAACAGTAATAATGCAACATGTACATATATTTCCGCAATGTTAGCATGGCAACTGGTAACTCTCAGATAGACAGTTTCCTGAGTGACTGAATGATATTTGGTGGACGTTTAATTAGGGCAGGAATATTGTTACAAATTTTAGCGGAAACAAATAGTATTGAAATGGAAATTGATATAAAAAAAACACCGATGTAGTTGAAGTTGATATATATTTCTACGGCCATTGGTAAAGAATAACAATAAATAACTTAGCTATCCGTTTAACAAAAAAACGATCACGTGGATAATGACATTACGACAAACTAGTAGTGGAGTACACCTTCGTGTGGCGATAAAAGTGAATTTACTATTTCCGCGATTATGATGCATGAGGCAAGCGGTATAAACAGTGTCCGGTTAGATGTACTGTCGTGTTGCCCAGCTTATGGTTTTGAGCTCTCAAGAACTAAAATGACCAAAACTGGTTGGTGTGTCGCATTGAAGTAAACACCCTATAATTGTTTTTTTTTAATTTCTTCTTTTTGGTTTTGACTAATCAAAAGCGTAATATTCTAGGTAAGCCGCGAACACCAACGTCTCCGAAAGGTGACGCTATTGTGGCGGGGACACCTGCCAAGCCGACTTCTCCAGCCGAGCTACCAATCGGTGGTAAGCAGTGCCATGAACCTTTCTTCATTTTCCAGCATACCCTGACGACTCATATTTTGCGACTATCAAAAACATTGGGACAATCAAAAAATGCCATTTTTTTCCGCAATATACAACAGTCACTCGCATTGAGCTGCTATACATTCTCAAAAACTTGGTGCAGATGACTGAGGCGCGAAAAACATTTCTTGAAACAGGAGGAGCAGAAGAGAAGAACAGCGCTGTTCTTTGTTCTCTTCTGCTCCTCCTGTTTCAAGAAATGTTTTTCTGTGCCTCAATCATCTGCACCAAGTATGCACCAACTTGACCAAAAACAAGTCCTTTTGAAATACCTTTTCTCCAGAACGAGTGTTCTGAATTGTTTCAGTTGAAATATTAACGCATAAGAAATGAATATAGTGGAAACTCATCCTACTTTTCCCGAGGAATTTCTATTGGGACATAATGAAACCTACTACACTTAGTCAGAGTCAGTCGCGTGGTCATACAAATGATTTACACTTGACGCATTATTTATCAGTAAAACTTAATGCCGACCAAAATAAGCACTACCTACAGGTTCATAATGCTAACAAATCCTTCACAGCTTCTACGCAGGACTCCAGCACTTAAACAGCCGGTAATTATTTCCTTGATTTGCTTATTTTATGTCCAATAAGACGTGTTATTGCTTATTGCGCATGAAATAAGCAGTGTTTTATTAGGTCATTTTTCACGTCACATAACTACCAACTCTACAAGTTGTACTCGTCAGTTTCGTTGGTAGCTGTATGTATTGTTTGTTTTATTTCGCCAGACCACCGGGAATAGGGTGCAATATTTTAAACGGATGGAGCAATAATGCGCCTTAACGATGCTTTCATATTCAGACGCAGTCGAAAAGTGAGGCATGTATAGTGTTTGAGCTAACTTTTAAAAATTGGTGTTCGTTCTCTTCGAGACCATGAAACGCATCCAATTTCAGGAACACCGTCTCTGCCAGCTCTTGTGCAAGGTTACGCGAACGTCCCTGCCACAAGCATGAAGCCGAATCCTTCTGCTGCTGTTGCCAACCCTGGTAAGAGCATGGGACTCAGTTATTCAACTCCAAAAGCAAGCCAGCGAACAGCATTCATCATATGTGTATAGTACTGATTCCATATACAATAGCTGAATTAAGTGACCAGATATGGTCATGTACCCGTGTGCAACCAGATATGACGTCAATTAAAGATTTTAGGTTTTGTGCAAGACTTTCAAGGACGCCGAAATGCCTTTTGTAGTGCATAATTGTAGACAATGAGGGCCCATACTAACGAAGTATTGTACCTCTCAGTGTTTCGTAAGAGGCATCACCTGCTGGTCCCAATGGTCAACATAAAGTTTTCTCTCAGAAATGGTTGACTAATGAGGTATAACTTGATTGGTGAAAACTTCATCACCCTAATTAAATATCGCACACTGTCTACTGCTGCAGGTCATGAGAATGGTTTTTCAATACTAATTAATCTTTGTTGCGAGGCTTCACGCTTAAACTTTGAAGGACTTCGGCTCATTTAGAAATCATGGGTCCCGCAAACATTATTTTGCTTACTGTACATATCAAGCAGCGTTTGATGCAGAAAGTAAATGCGATTGCCCACTAATGCCGAAATGTGGAGAGCTCCTGCATTCCAGGTGTGCCACCTGCACCAACGAGTCCACGTGTACAGGCGGTTCCCCCTGTAGTAGCGGTTCAACCTTCCGTACGAGCGGTGGCACCTGTACGAGCAGCAGGTACTGCCGGCCTCGGAACTGGGACCAACTTGCCTGCTCCCAGACCTGCTGCTGGAATTGCTGGTAAGAATTGAGAATTTCAGGTTTTTCATGTTTTTTTATACATAAAAAGCTTCTGTTTTCTAATACGCATCAGTGTGAAACTCTGAATATTGTTATAGAAGCATGAAAATATAAAAATGTGTTGTTAAAAATGTGAGCTGTTTAAGGACACAACGTACTAGGAGGCTGGTGTAAGGCTGAAAAAAATTGATTACTTGCTCATTTGCTCCATTTGACTCTGATCGCTATTTCCGAATCACAGAGAGCTCCTTCTTTCCAGGTGTGCCACCTGTACCAATGACGCCACATGTACTAGCGATTCCCCCTGTAGTAGCTGTTCAACCCGCAGTACGAGCGGTGGCACCGATACCAGCAGCAGGTCCTGCTTGCCTCGGTACTGTGGCCAACTTGCCTGCTCCCGCAACCGGTGCTGGAATTTCTGGTAGGTATTGTGATTTTGGTGTATGACAAGTTTCTTTTTCATAAGAAGCTCTCGTTCTTAATATACATCAATTTTAAACTAAAAAAAAACATTATAGAAGGGCGTACATATAGAAATGTGTTGTTTTAAAATGTGACTTACTTGAGCACACAGCGTGCAGGAGGCTGGTGTGAGGATGGAAAAATCGCTTACTTGCTCATTGGCTAACCTTAACTCTGATATTAGTGGTTTAAAGGACACTATAAAAAAGCAATTTCTTTCACGCTACTAAAATACTCTTCTACAATTAGAAAATACTCACGCTTGCCACGGGGGTACTTTTGGCGAGTTAAAAATATCCACAGAAAGAAATGGGGCTGGAACCGCCATCTTTACACTCCTGCATCAAAGGTCATGACGTAAAGAGCTTTGAAGGCGTCCCTTAGGTGCTGCTAAATGCGTCCGCTGCTGCTAATTGTGCTGTCGTGGAGCCACGCACATAACGCACCAAGTTACAATAAGTTTTGTTGATCAATTGTCGCAAAAATTCCAAAATTGGGGGACGTGTAAGCTTCGCCTTCAAGAGCAGATTGCCTTAACGTAATGGACCTCGTGCGCGTCGGTTTCTGCACTGCTATAGACTGCTTAGGTTCTTGGTGTATGCCTGAAACATTCCGTAAGGAATCGAGCGACAGCTTGCATAACATTAGCCCTTTCGAAGTACCGTTGAATGCAAGCACAGTTGCTAAGTGCCCACCACACCATAATTCCAGAATTCACATTTTTCTAGATGCCATGCACGCCCTCAAGCTTAGAACATTCATTGGATGCCCAGTTGTCGAAAGATAGGTTTTCGGAAGGTATATGATAAAACGCATCAAACTTTTTTCATCTCTCCCGCAGCCGTTCACAATATTGCAAACCTGCAGATGCAATGCTCAGCACTTGTGCGGCAACTCATTTAATCGTATCAATACTGAAGTTGCCATTCGTGAGTGCTTTAGCGAGTTTAAATGTGCACCTATGTTTACCCACTAATGTTGTAATACGTACCGCACACTGTGATAAATACTAGGAGAGCGCATGTACATTCAAGCTCTTAGAAAGGTCACAATTACAAAGGCGCTAGCATGTGGTAATAAAAAACCTGTCACTGTTACTTTCGATTTGTGCGTTATGCCCTGTGTATTGATATCGAGAACACTGGTGTGTTTGTTCTCCCTCAACTATATAATATTTATTGTAAAGTGCCCTTAGAACAGCGCGCTGTTTTTAAAAAGCAAACGAGGTTGCCAAAAACACCTTAAAAGTTTGTGATGCCAACTTACACAGCCAAGCCACTCGTGCAACCACCGCTGAGACCGGACGCCAACCAGGGTGCTGCATCTAAGAAGCCGGATGACGAGCCTCCGATATCGATTGCCGGTAAGAACTCAGAAAGAAAATGTTGTGGTACTTCGAAGAACTCTCAGGGTCCTGTTGCAGTCGTGTACTTTGGGACCCTCGTCTGTATATTTTACTCCCTGTAACATCCTTTTATGGCATGATAATAAACTGATTGATTGATTGAAGACTGAGTAGGTCATCTGCCGTACAACATCTCACCCGGTGCCTCCCTGACCAGCCAAGCCAAATTTTGTTCGATAAGTGAAAGCATTAGTCTGTTTCTCAAGTAGAATTTACGAAATGATAAACTAAACCGCACTAATGAGTACTTTGTACAGCACTGCGGCTAAGAAATAGGTGAGAACCATCAGCTTAAGGCTCGAGCGCCGTGTAGTGAGAATGCTGAAGGTTAGAGAGACGGGAGCTGTGAAACTATTTTCACGCAATGCCTGGCATTAAAACCTTTAGCTAGTTACAAACTATTAATCTACAAGAGCTTTTCCATGCTGTCAAAACCAGCGAACGAACTCGACAGTCGTTGTCACAGTCATGTACCCGTAGATGGTGTGATGACGGCGCACATATAACAAAACGTACGCTGCTGCTGAAACTGCCTGACAGCATGCTTCACAAATGATTATGTTGAACTTGAGGTTTTACGTGCTAAAACTGCGACGTGATGTGTGTGCGCGTGTCGTGCCCACTTTGTAACGGGCGTTCTTCTTAACTTTTTTGGTCCATGTAAACGTACCACAGTTTTCGTTATAGAAAACCAACGAGCCCAATACATCACTTTGCTATCACCCCTTTTACTATCACTCGAAGCGTATATGCGAAGAGTATACGTTTTAAATATACCCTTCTACCTTACGCGAAATCTACTACGCAGCATGTCTGATAAGGGTAACACAATAGTAATGACACAGGTTGGCTACAATATTTACTAATAATTTATTGCTACGCCATTACTTTTGATAACTTCATTGTTATACCATCGCCGCTAACTGGTCCAGTGAAGCTTATATTCCCTTGCATGCCTGCGATGCCTCCCATGGTGTCTAAGCTTCAAGAGCCTTGTTACAAGTTCTTTTTTTAATCCTTTGCTCATTTCATTTTCTGTCGCAACACTGTCAGGATCACCACCTAAAGCCGCAAAGAAGGTCAAGCCGAAGTTTACCTTGACGCCGGATGACGTTCAAAAATTTTACGCCCTGTTTTCCAAGCGCTGTTGCTACTTGAGCCGCACTCGTTTCCTTTTCCTCACCGGCTGGCTACTTCCGATTGTGATAGCCTACGTGGCCACCGCCACACTGACGGCACAACGGGCGGCAGAGAAAGAGCAGCCCCCACGCAACGTCGTCCTCAGTGCCACCACGCAGTTCGGAGATGATGTGCGCACCTTTCTGAGCGAGGGGAGCGAGGCAAATGCTTCCAGCGACTACCGGCTGCTCATGTACCACCAGGCCGTGGCTATCGATTCTCTCGAGGACCCGCAGGAAGAGCTGCTCGCTGCCCTGGAAGATAACTACCTCGAGTATGGAGCAGGCTATCCCTTTGGAGCCGTTATCAACTCTTCGACCTTGTGAGTATTATTGTAACAGCGGGAAAGAAGCAATTCTTTCTGTCTATTGTGGTGTATGACGGTCTTCCTGGGTGTTATGGTAATTTACAATTTAAGAATAGATACAAGGTTCACCCACAACCATCACATTCTCAAAGAGATTGTGACAACATGCTGCATCTAATAAAAATGGCTCAGTTTAATTTTTTTCAAGCACTCTGCCTGTGTTCAGACTCATGCTCGTGTCACTGGTATTAACCGAACACTTGAACGTTCTAGCCGTTTTCATCAGATATTCTGAGATTGCTGCTTAACCATAGGCAATAATTAGGCAGAATCGATGAACCATTAGTCGTCGATGTGCTCATATTTATATTTACATCAGAATGAGCGCACTAAAGACGTGGTTTTAAAGAAAACCAGCTTGTACGACTCTTACATATGTGTGGTTGACAAGAATCTCATGGTTCTGTGGGAGGAGCTTGTATGTATTGTTAGGTTGTGACGGACTAGAGGCGTGTTATGGCGGCTGCCTTACCAAGAATATAATTTGAGACTCTGGGTACATGTGAAAAGATGATTTACTATTAGCTGTGTGCGGGTTGTAGAAATCTGGGATAACTCGGTATGTATTTCTGTTTATACAGCGGCTAATTCGGGCTCTGAAACGATTTTGAAGTAACAATTAAAAGGATATATTAAAAATATTATTGCCTCACGATTTGATTGCCGCCAAGATATTTAGAATTGCTCAAGCGTTTGTGGGGTCACAGAAATTTGAAGCATGCTCTAATTGGGTCGCAGAAATTTGTAGCACGCTCTAATTGATTTCCTTCTTCTCTCGTCCCAACAAGCGCGTTCGAAGTCAAGCAGGTAGAGAAAGCACGGGTAGAAAAAGTTAACACATGCGCGCGTCGTGAGCGGCTTACTATCAGTGTGCTCGCGCTCATGGGCGCGGGGACGTGGCAGCCTCTCTTGGCTGCCACGTCCTTAAGTTTGGGTATAAAAACACTGAGAGCGTTATGTGATGAACTTCATCACTGCCTTGCCCCGCCGCGGTGGTCTAGTGGCTGAGGTGCTCGGTTGCTGACCCGCAGGTCGCGGGATCCAATCCCGGCTGCGGCGGCTGCATTTCCGGTGGAGGCGGAAATGTTGTAGGCCCGTGGGCTCAGATTTAGGTGCACGTTAAAGAACGCCAGGTGGTCGAAATTTCCGGAGCCCTCCACCATGGCAACTCTCGTAATCTAATGGTGGTTTTGTGTCGTTGAACCCCACATATCAATCAATCAATCAATCAATCAATCAATCAATCAATCAATCAATCAATTGTAACTGCTTTTTTTTTTCAAGTTACGCGAAGCGATTGCAAGTTCACTCAATGAGCTCTCCACCACCTTCAATATATTTTCAGACTACTACTTTCACTAGACATTTTACATGTTAGACAACATGATGCAAGTTAGGCAGCACGCCGACAAAAGACGCAAACATGCAGATATCTCAAATACTATGTCAAATATTATTAACTGGAAATGATGAAAATGCTAGACCTTGAAGTGAAAAGTTTAACTTTCTTAATCTAACATCGTGCGAATCACCAGGGCCACAAACGTGAGCGGGTTGGTAGCAATAACAGGGCTGTTATTGCCGTGATTATATTTCCTTCTAATGTTTCGCCTGCGGCCTTAACAGCACAAACTTTGCTTCTTGCGCCTATTGTTCGAGAGTATCACAGGACAGGACGCCTGTAAGACATGATAGTCACAAGGAGCGCCACATTATGTAAATGGCAGCACAGGGTAACCCGTATTATGTTATTGTTTTATGGCGTACTGGATTTGTGAAAGCACTGAAACTCGTGTTTTATGAGGGAAATATAAAAGGAATACACTTCTGTTGCTGTACACTCGGCGCAGAATTGAAGCCTGGTACAACCCCACAAGTATGATGAGCCTGCCTGTGCTTAACAACCTGATGCACATCATTCGGCTGAGGACCGCATCCGGCCGGCACGACCAGAGCATCACGACCAAGCTCTCGCTTTACCCGTTGCCCGAGGACGTCCTGAGAACTACGTCGACTCGCAAGCGTGACGAAGAGACCTTGGGGCAGCTGCAGCTCGCCGTGGAGCAGGCGTGGATCTATTGGGGCTGCTTGGCCACAGTCAGCATGGGCCTGATCGTATCCTCATTCGTGGTGTTCCCCGCAGCCGAGAACCACGGCGGAGCTCGCGGTCTGCAACTCATGACAGGCGTTTCTGGCTGTACTTTTATGTCGGCGCACTTCCTGTTCGACCTCGCCTTCTACCTCGTCCCGATGGCTGTCATCTACGGAGTGTTCGCGGTATCGCAACGCCTACGCTTTGAGACCATAGGTAACGAAAGAAGACTCAGGATTTAAATTAAAACAATTATGATGAGTTCATATATATTCTCAAAAATGCAAAGATTGAAGGCATTCGCTAAAATAACTGGCATCTAGCCGTTAGAAACTAATATGACGAACTGACCACAAGGTTCAGGTATGCCCTTTTGCATGAAGTTTAGATCAGCCAGTAGAAAACCATTTCTGTCCTCTAGAAGCGGATCGAAAGCAATGCACTGTCTAGATTGACCAAAGTGCCTTGAAGGAGATGAGTGTAATCCTAAGGGTTCGCTTTCTTTGTGAAGCACGATATTAATGAGAACTAACAAACAATAAGACAAGAGAGAATACAGAGGATGTTATTAGGAGTAATTGTAATGTAAATTTGAAGAAGGGAAGGTGGGCGAAAAGATAACTTGCCGCGGGCAGGAACCAAACCTGCGGCCTTCAAACAACGCGTTCGATGCATCCAACGCCTTATTCAAATGTAGCACCAAATTTACATTAATATTACTTCTAATAACATCCCCTGCACTCTGTCTGGTACCTTGAGAATGACTGGGAACGTACCTTTCTTAGTTTTTCTAATGTACGTTTTGCGTAGAGGATTTCACCGCACTTGCTGTCTGATGTAATTTTTGCACAGCCGCACGCGCAGGCAATCCAGAAATTCAACACTTCACAAGCACTCCTTGGAAACTGCCGTGGAACTTTTCATGCCCCTGTTCTTAGTTAATGGCAGAGAAAGATCTGAGTTAAGGAAAGTTCTGTACAGAGTTTTAATGATCTAAGATCGATTTTCTGATATAAAATGTTTTTAGATCAATGAAATGGTTGTTAAAATGATTGCACGTCAAAAGCATTGTTCCTAGGGTAACGATATCCTGGTACGGCATTTTGCACGTATAATATGTGTGCATACGTGTGTGGCATGTAGACGGAAGCAACCCACCGACTTTGGTATGTTGATAGTGAAGCTGTCACTTATGATGGTTATCATCTCCAATTTGTTGCAGTGGCTCTCGCCGCAGTCGTGCTGTCATTCGCTCCGAGCGGCATAATACTACCGTACTTGGTGGCGGAGCACATAGAAACCGAGGGGACTGCGTATTCCATCATAGTCGGCCTATTCGCTGTAGGAGGTGAGGACTACACGGACTACAACACTTATATCATCAACATAGGCAGACGGATGTAGGGTGGGTCTCGCAGATGGAGGCGGACAGTCTCCTTTACTTAACTTATGGTAAATGTTTGTAATGTCTATCCATATCTATACCGAGTGTGATACGTTTTGTCGTTGTTAAAAGAGGAAGATAATAGCAACGCAGGACTATCACTATAACCCCTGATGTTGCGTTTTGAAAGCTGCTTCCTTCCTATTTTTACTACCAGGAAGCGAGAGACCAAATACCGGCCATTGTAAGAACATCAACATTTCATTTTCACGAAGCATGTTTTCTTTCGGAATCCACAAAGGAGACGGGTAGGTAGTGGTTAACGAAACTTTGCCACCACGTAAGGGTAACTCTGCCCACTGCTATGACCATCGGCATGCCCGGTCAGTTTGTGTGGCTGTTCGTAAGACCTTATGGCATTGTCGTAAAGGGCTGGGTAGGACAGTGTGTGCACCGAGTTATACCACTATCTTATGTCGCCACCATCTCTAATGTACCAACGATTCTTCTGCAGGGCCTGCGGTCTTTTTGTTCTACATGACCAGTTTGCCCGCGCTTAACAGCCAGGTGTTGCGCGTGCCTCTGCTCTTCCTTCCACCCTTCTTGCTCGGCGCCACCACTATCCAGGCTGTAAGCCTCGACTACGAAGCGAGCATGTGCGAGCTCTTACGCCTGCAACCGAAGCTGGACGACTTAATCATCGGCGTGTGCGACGACATGCGCCTGCTCGGATCGGGCATCGTTCACTGCTGTAAAAGTGAGTCAAACGCACGCAGCTGTAATGCCAGTGCACCGAGAAGGCCGTTTTCTTCGCGTGCTAGGCGCACGCGTCCCGTCAATTTTTTGAAGCGTGGAGGGATTTGTTAGTCGTGCGAGCACTTTAGCGTACAAGCCTCTTCATCGTATGTATGTATGTATGTATGTATGTATGTATGTATGTATGTATGTATGTATGTATGTATGTATGTATGTATGTATGTATGTATGTATGTATGTATGTATGTATGTATGTATGTATGTATGTATGTATGTATGTATGTATGTATGTATGTATGTATGTATGTATGTATGTATGTATGTATGTATGTATGTATGTAGGTATGTATGTATGTATGTATGTATGTATGTATGTATGTATGTATGTATGTATGTATGTATGTATGTATGTATGTATGTATGTATGTATGTATGTATGTATGTATGTATGTATGTATGTATGTATGTATGTATGTATGTATGTATGTATGTATGTACAATGCATACATACATGCATACATACATGCATACGTACATGCATACGTACATGCATACATACATGCATACATACATGCATACATATATACATGCACTGATTACCGCCATACATACATGCATACATATATACATGCACTGATTACCGCCATACATCTGTACATATATAATTTATATGCATACAAATACGTAACCACTAACTGTATATGCACGACCCCAAGGGATGTTAACGCAATATTATTCAATTTTTTAATGAGCCGCAAAAATTGATGAATTCTTGCTATGCGTAGAGTGCCATTGTTAATCACTGAGTTACAGAGTGATCCCAGTCATGAAGTATCCCCGGATTATCTCTTCCGGATCGTATTGGCTCATTTGCGACTTTACGGCATCCGCGACTCGCAGTGTTGGCGGCTCGCCAGGAAGGCAATGAGGAACTGTGGTCCACGATTGGCCCCTTCTCCTGGTCCTGGTACAGCATCGTGGGCGAACTACTGCTTATGCTGATACTGGGCGCAGTGCTGTTCTACATTGCTGTGCGTGGCGTCTCGGGAGATTTTGGCTACGAGAACAAGTTGCACGATCTGCACACGCCAGCGCTGGACGACGACGTGGACGCGGAGAAGAAACTGGTGAACACAGTTTGCCGACAGAAGCGCTTCGGAGAGTACGCGCTGGTGGCGCGCAATCTGCACAAGTTTTTCGACAAGTTCTACGCGGTGCGCGGCATCTACCTGGCCCTGAATCCCGGTGAATGTTTCGGCCTCGTGGGTGTCAACGGCGCTGGCAAGACGACCACCTTCCAGATGCTCGCCGCCCTGACTGAGATGACCGACGGCAACGCGTACATGAAGAAACTGGTTCTATCCAAGGCACCTCGGGAGGTGAGTCGAAATTACTTCAGATCCAGTCGAAACGTTCTCGTACACATAAGCGAGTCGCCATAGGTGTTCTCAGGGTTCTCCATTAGAGGGTGTGGACAAGTTTCACAGCACCCCCCCCCCCCCCTCCCTTAACCCCGTTGTAGCCCGAGCCTTAAAGCGAGCAAGTTTTTCAATGGATGCGAAAATTGAACTGAAGCAAAGTTCACTTCGTCACGACGGCGCCCTGCCTGTGGTACCCGGCTTACCAGGGGCAAAAGTGGGACGTGGACAGTTCTTAGAATGCAACGTAAAGGGTCGTCAACTGCCACTATTTTCAAACAGCTGCTTGGCTATAAGCGTGAACATTAAACTGTGGCTGCACAGACCTGACAGAGTAAAGGTATGGGGCCGACACAGCACCCTCATTAGATGATTCAGAGAGCGACACCTCCCCCTCCTAAAACTCTTGGGCGCGCGCGCCTATGAAGGCGACAGTCTGATTTTGGCCAACACGGAGGCTATCATAGTCTCATATTATAGGAACTCATCCTGCTCAATCCTCAATGGCATTGAAAGTTCTGTTCAAGCTTTTTGAGCCAATGGTTAAGCTACGAAGTTTCTGCTAAAATTGATGTAATAGAGCTCAGCAGTGAGACTTCTCAAATGCTATCGTTTTTAGTCGCAATAGGTTACTTCAACATAAGTATTTTTCTGCGTGTTGGAAAGCAGGAGGTCGAGTGACATTATGAACAAATCTAGATTATCTTCAATAATTACTGTGCAAACTCGTCACAGTATGCATACTTGTAAGCACATGTAATTCTGAAAATACAATAGCATCGATATGAAACTGCGTGATACGCTACGCACAATACGCTGGTTTCGGACGCTCTGGCTAATTGCCACTGGACAGGTCGAAATTGTTTCATCCGATATTTATAACGTGAATACTAATTCTGCTTTGTCATTTCGGTGCTAATTCAAAACTTATCTGTGTGTATCGCTCATTGGCACCTGTCGTTATGAAATGAGGCTCATTCGCGTTATACAGTTACCCGTGAGCACTGCCAGCGTCTCTGAAGACTTACGCTCCCCATTATTGCTACGACACGGTTTTCGTAACATTCAGTGTGCATGTTTTATCGTCGCTAATGGCGAATAAGCCGCGCGTTACGAAGCATTGTCGATACGGTATCGTAGAATTACAATGGTTTTACGGTTGTGCATGCAGTGGCAAGCCCGCATCGGCTACTGCCCTCAAAGCGACGCGCTTCTCGGCAAACTGAATGCGTTTGAGACGCTCTTCATGTTCGGCCGGCTACGCGGTATACCGGAAAGATCACTGGGATCGATTGTTTCCCAACTGATCACCATGGTCGACCTGTCGGAGCATGCGTCCAAGCCGTGCGAGTACTACAGGTGGGTTTTCTGTTGTCCTATACGCGCGGCAAGATAGCTAATCCAAATAACTGCCCTGCTCTTTTAGCAAGCTTATACTCAGATCTGTATCAACAGTCGAGGTGTGTTCTCTTCCAATAGTTTATTCCTCGGGTTATTACCCTCTGCGGGTGTGCTGTCGAAACTTCACTACATGCATAATAGAAACTCCTAAATCTAGCCGGAAGGTTTACACAAGTGCAGAGGGGGTTTCTAGGCTTCCTGCTGAGTTTTGCGTATAGAAACATTAGAACGTGGGCATAACGGTGAATAGAAAAAATGGCAGATACCACGTACTGTGGGAATCGATGATATGCGAAGCACGAATGAGGAACGGTAACAGGTCACTTTAAAATCAGCCCATAGATTAAGAGGCGGAGGTAAATTATGCCATACACGACTTTCATGTCATGATTATCATCTTTAGACATATCATTTACCTTCGTAACCTATTAACGTCACCTGATACCAACTTTGGTATATACGAAGCTAGTGAAACGGCCGCGAGCGTGCTATGAGCGTAGCATGTAGTCATATTTTTACATAAAATTCGTATCATGGTTATCATTATTGAACGTGTCATTTACATCCATCGTCCATTCACGTCACGTGATACCAAATTTGGTATATGTGGAACTAGTGAAACAGGCGCGAGCACCCGCCGCGGTGGTCTAGTGGCTAAGGTACTCGGCTGCTGACCCGCAGGTCGCGGGATCGAATCCCGGCTGCGGTGGCTGCATTTCCGATGGAGGCGGGAATGTTGTAGGCACGTGTGCTCAGATATGAGTGCACGTTAAAGAACCCCAGGTGGTCGAAATTTTGGAGCCCTCCACTACGGCGTCTCTCATAATGATATGGTGGTGTTGGGACGTTAAACCCCACATATCAATCAATCAATCAATCAATCAATCAATCAGGCGTGAGAACGCTATGAGCGTAGCATGTAGTCATGTTTTACAAGAAACGCATATTATGATTATCAGGTTTGGACGTGTCATTTACCTTCGTCGTCTATTCACTTCCCTTGATACCGAATTCGGTACATGTGGAACTAGCGCAACGGTGGCGAGCGCATCATGAAAGGCCCAATATACTCCGACGCAACGTTGACGAACGGGCAGGCTGGGCGCGGCGACGCCACGCTGGCAAAACGCGAGCACTCTGTAGAGTGACGCCAGGCACGACCAGCGTCCGTCATCGCGGCCCGATGGCAACCAGCGCAAAATGCGACATGCTGCATTTCGCACCGACGACGTTTCTTAGACAGCACCGCGTCTGCCTCTCTTCGTGACAGAGAACGCTGTGTGCGCTCAAAGGCGCATGCGTCAAAGCAACGCAGCGTGGCGCGCGCCTGCGAGTATATGGCATGCAGATCCACAATGAAGGTCAGTGGGCAGATCCACTGATCTCTACTAGGGGGATATCGGCGCCTGGCGTGGAATCGCCAGCGTGACGCGATAAAACGAACGCCGGCTCGCACGCGCGCCGGCTCACGTCGAAGTGCATTGGCATCTTGAGTGTGGCGTGTATTAATGTTAGTACATGAAACGCATCTCGCGATTATCATGTTTGCACCAGTCACATGCCTTCGTCATCCATTCCCGTCAGGTAATACCAAATTTTGGTATATGTTAAGGAAGCGAAATGGCCGCGAGCGCATCATGAGTGCGAGACGTAGTCATGTTGGTATATGACACGCATGTCATCATCCTCATGTTTGGACGTGTCATTTTCCTATGTCGTCCGTTCGCGTCATGTAATAACGAATGTGGTAGATGTGAAGCGAGCGCATCATGAGCGTGGCATGTAGTCATTTGAAAAATTGATTTGCTGCACAAACTTGAAGGAAAACAAGGGAGACAGGAAAGAGCACAGACTACCAACTGTTTACTACCAACTGTTTAGGGCAGACGGGGCGTTGCCTCAACGAACGCTTGCGTGAGCACACTCTGGCCGTAAAAGGAAAAAAAAAATGGTGGTCATTTAGATTTCCACTGTAGGACATGCGGATGCACCCCCCGGTTTGAGAGTGCGTCAGTCATGGCTAAGGTACGTGAAAAGACCGAAAGGGAGATTATCGAAGCGTACATTATCAGGCAATTTAATGACAAGTGCATAAGCATGCCTTCATTGTCACTTTCGGACAGGGAAATGGTCTTCCTACCTAGTCATGTGTAATGTTGTGGGTAACGCCTTGCATTGTGTTCTTTTCCATTTCTCTTCTTTTGTTTTGCTCATGAGTGTTCCAGTTTTATTTTTCATGTGACGCTACATAATGTTTTGTAAGGTTATATGACTCTCTCGGTGTACTGCTTCTTCGGGTTTGCTCACTTGGGGCTGCTTGGAGTGACTATAATTTTAGTTATTTTCTTGTTTTTTTCGGTCTAAGCGCAATTTTAAATGTTTTTTAAACGAAAGTCTCTAGAGTACGTTTTCATATTTTTACGCCTTTGATCTTGGTCAATAAAAATACAAAATATAATAAAAGATAAGTTCTAGATTAAATAAGAGCGCACAACTTGAGAATACGCAGTTTAGATTGTGGTGGGTATCACTTTTGTATTTTGCCATTTTTCGCATTTGCCATTGTGATGGCAGTCACATTTGAATTGATTTGTTTTGGGACGGCTTTGTTTGCGGCATCTTTGGTTTTGTGCGCATCGTGGAAGCGCAGCGTAGCATGTGTATATATTGGCTTCAAGAAACGACAATAAACAGTTGGTATTCTGCGCTCTTTCCTGTCTCCCTTGTTTTCCTTCAAGTTTGTGCAGCAAATCAATTTTTCAAGTATGAACCAACTAGTCTGCAAAAAAGTATTGCTTTATGTAGTCATGTTTTGCATGACACACATCTCATGATTATCATGTTTGCACCAGTCATATAGCTTAGTCATCTATTCACGTCCCTTAATACCGAATTTGGTTCATAAGAAGCTAGCGAAACGGCCGCCAGCACAACATGACCATGGCATGTAGTCATGTTGTTACGTGACATGCATGTCATGATTATAATGTTTGCACCAGTCACATAGCTTCGTCATCCATTCACGTCCCGTAATACCAAATGTGGTATATGCAAAGCTAGCAAAACGGCCGCGAGCACATCATGAGTGTGGCATGTAGTCATGTTGTTACATGACACGCATGTCATGATTTTGATGTTAGTGTCTGTCGCTTGTGTTCGCCGTGCAGTCATGTCATACTATACCAGTTTTGCAACATATCACGTGAATGAAACCGCCACAAGAGCAGAGAAACCTTGACACGTAAATCACGATATTTATGACACACACATCATGATTTTCATGATATGAATAGTCAATTATGTTCGAAATACTGTCATGTTATATCATTCTAAGTTTGGCATCGATACCATTATCCAAACGGCCAGGAGAGCTAAAGGTCGTAGGCGGCTTGATAGATAGATAGATAGATAGATAGATAGATAGATAGATAGATAGATAGATAGATAGATAGATAGATAGATAGATAGATACGTTCAAAGTCGCCGAAGTTCGCCACGAAATGCTTCGCATTTAAAACAGAGCTTTGCAGAACTAGTTTGCGTTTGTTTCTGATCGCCTTGTTTTGTTTTTGACTTGTTGTTCGAACATCAATATTTGCCACGGCGATCGGATTTCGATGAGCGTGAAATGGTAGAGACCCGTACACTGGGCGACATCAGTGCATCAGTGCAACACCAGATGGCCGAAATTTATGGAGCCCTCTACTACGGTGCTCCTCATAATGATATCGTAATTTTGGGACATAAAAACGAATCTAATAATATTGTTATCATACTATTAAAATCATTTGTACTATTACTACTGCTACCGAAATTTTAGGTTAAATTTTTCTAATAACTTTGAGCACTATCCTAACCACTCCATGAACTGGCGCACAAAGACACCGCTCGAAAGCTTCAATAAATTGGTATGCAGTATTGTAATGTAGTATCACTCAGTGAAAGGCACGAAGGAGGAAGGACATAGAGAACAGGGCAAGCAATTACACGTCCTGTTACCTTTATATTTAGTCTTTGCGCTTTTCCTTAAGCGCAACTAAATTAGAATGGCGTACGAACTGGCCCAACTTTAAGCTTTTCTGAATGAATACAGCTACACAACGATAGAAGGGGAATGTGTAGGGCTTGGTTTTCGTTTGTTAGATATAACATTAATTTGAAGTAACGTAGAAGGAAGCCAAGGAAGGTATACGGGATGTTATTTGGTGCAAATAGGACGCAAATGTGAAGAAAGTAAAGTGGACGAAAAGATAACTCGTGCCAGCAGGGACCGAACAAGTGACCTTCGAATAATGCGTCTGATGCTGTACCAACTGAACTACAGAGGCGGACATCCGAGCAATATGTCGGGATTCAAATCTAGTGCTGTTAGCGCCACTCGTGACCATGACGGCAAGTGTGCAACACACTTTTTTTTCTGCCAAATGGCGTCGCGAAAAATGTGTTCGTTTTACGAGCAGGCAGCTGAGCAACAACCCTCGCATTTGGTCTACGAGAACAGGTCTACTTCTTTAAATAAACGAAAGGGAAATTTTAAGGCCTAGTTTTCCTTTTTTAAACACAACAATAATTGTAACTAACAAATAAAAAAGCTAGAGAAAATATAGTATAATAATTATTATCACGGTAATGTGAAAATGATGGACGAATAGGTAAAATAGGTAAATAGGGACTAGGTAAATCGCCCCTGTCAAAAACCAAAACTGTGAGATCGAATAACGTATTCGGTGCTCTCATAAATTAAAACCTCCATGGGTTTACTGTCTGTTAGTTTTAACTAATGTTATATCCCCAGAAGGTATTCAAGACCTCGATGATTTTGATTGATATGTGGGGTTTAACGTCCCAAAACCACAATTTGATTATGAGAGACGCCGTAGTGGAGGGCTCCGAAAATTTCGACCACCTGGGGTTCTTTAACGTGCACCCAAATCTGAGCACACGGGCCTACAACATTTCCGCCTCCATCGGAAATGCAGCCGCCGCAGCCGGGATTCGAACCCGCGACCTCCGGGTCAGCAGCCGAGTACCTTAGCCACTAGACCACTGCGGTGGGGCTATTCAAGACCTCGCTATAGTGCCGTAGGCACACAGGATATCCCTCAACCACCTAATTTTTTAAATGATTTGCAGCGGAGGCAACAAACGCAAGCTGTCAATCGCTGTGGCCGTGGTCGGCTACCCTCCCATCGTGCTCTTGGACGAGCCTTTCGCGGGCGTCGATGTCGTCTCGCGCAACCACATTCGTCAGGCCCTGGTCAAGTTGAAGAACTGCACCAAGATAGCCTTCATCCTAACATCACATAAGTGAGTGGTGCACTCGGGCTCATGCACAAGCTTGATTGAGATTCCTGAGCTATCCTGTGAAACAGTGTTTTTTACCCTGAAATTCAGCTTTATACTAACATTGATCATGGCGAATATAGTGAATATGCCTAAAATGTTGTATTTTCATTCTATCTGACGACGTAGCATGGAGGAGTGCGAGGTGTCGTGCGACCGCATCGGCATCATGGTGAAGGGTCAGATGACCTGTCTAGGCCCGCTGCACCACCTGAGGCAGAAGTTCGGCGGTGGTCTGACTCTGAAGTTCAGGTTGTCCGATGACTCGCCGGTCGACAGCGAGCAACTGGACAAGGCTGTCCTTGCAGCATTTCCGGGAGCGAAACGCTTGGACACTCAAGACGTAAGTGTTGGGAATGATACAAGATACAAGAAAATACCAGTACCAGGAAATATGTATCCTGGTACGAGATACCAGGGCGCGTATGGTAGCTTTATAAGGAAAGAAACAAATTGTCGTGTACCGTTTCTAGTGCGTTCTGTTTGCCGTACATATAAACTTTATTTAAAGATGCACGTGAACTCTCTTTTAAAAATCATTTATACCCTCTCCGATGAGTCGTAAGACACGTGACTCTTTGAAGGGTCTGTTACACCACAAGAAAGCAATGAATGTAATAGCAGCAGCTTTGAATGTGATAGGAAGTAAGGCTTGCAAGCATGCTTTAGCATGTGTATACGTCCTGGCCTAAATCAATGAATTCAAAGCGAACTTTGCGATGAGTACATGTACAAAGTATGGCCGCCTGTTGATTCCGGTCGAAATAGTGCGCGCGTGACCACGGGCTAGCCGCCCGGTCCGTGGCAGTACGCAGTTCCTGCGGGACCATGCTGTATCTCCGCTCAGGCGCAGAATTTTTTTTTTCGGGAAGAGGGAAGAGCAGGGGCACCTCCTTAATTTCAGGAGGGGCAACCCTCTGAAATGATCATTTCTCGGTCTTAATGCCATCGAAAAAAAAAAAACTCGCGAGGAGGGAGGTATGTTCTCGGTGTGCCACCGCTGGCTACGCCCCTGCATCCCTTCCGGAGCGCCTTCATGTGCCTTTCGCGCTGTGTAAACTGCCAGGGTTAGCACTACGCTGGAGCTGCGTTCGTCGGCAATCTGTCACGCGCATTATTTCGCAAGTCGAACAAGCGATGTGCGGGGCGATTTCGTCGGCTTGCATTTTATACTGAACCTCACCTCGTGGTGCCGCCGACGGTAGAAATGTGTCCTTGCTGCCATCGGCAGTGCCCTTGCGACCACAGTAAAAGACAGACTGACAAAGGATCGGTAACACAATGTTTGCGCTTTTGGTGGCGACCTAACAGATGAACATTACAGCTGCTTCTCATTTTTCCACAGCGCCTGCAGAAGTTGGCCGAGTACCGTCTGCAGCAGCGTCTGGCCTGGAGCGTGCTCTTCCAGAAGGTCACTGCACTGCGAAGTGCGTTTTCCTTCGAACACGTTATCGCCGCCGACGCCAACCTGGAGCAGCTCTTGGTTACCTTTGCGCGCAAAGCGCGAGCCGAAGCCCTGCTCGAGCCGAAGGACGAGGACTGAGCTGAGCGGGGCTCTCAACGTGGCCGGCCCGCAAATATTTTTGGAGAAATTGAACGTTTGCGCGTTGAACCCCGTTTTGGAGTATTGGATGAAAAATATTTATCTGAACGTACAGGCCTACATCACCACGTAAAGACACCAGTCATTCACTGACGCACAACTTGATACTATTCTCGAAGAAGGTTACAGATGGCCAACTAAAACACAGCGAGAGCGGTATGTAACATGTAACACAGCAAGAGAGCCGCATCAGTGAGACATGGGGCTCCATTTTGTTTTTGGCATGGCTTAAGACCATAATCATTATATCTCATTTTGTAAGCTTAATATGGTTATGACCTACGTATATATTATTCGTCTATAGTGTGGAGTGCTCGGATTATTCGTATGTGAATTAATTCATCTATTATGTAGCTCTCCAATCGAAAGTTTTGTTTGTTTGCATTTTAAGTAAGTTTTTATATGGTCTAAACTCTATAAAACTCCCAGATTACGCATAACTATGGTATTGCGATTTCCAAGACATCCTTTCTTCACCAGACTTTTCGTGTTCTCAAGATGCTTATGCGGAGAAAAAATGAAATCATTTCCGAAGCCTCCTATATCAGCATACCACAATGGTGCCGCATCTCTTAACCACAATGACTATTTTACCTTTTATTAACGTAAGTTCATTGTGAACATCTGAAGTGCTGATATTAGTTTTCTTGATTGCCTGAACATTTTTCGGTCGAACTGTATATAACTCGGGCACTCAGTGGTCCTCTGAACAGAAAAATTTAACAGGTGTGTGCCTCTTCCACTAGAAACGTGACCTGGGATGAATGAACCGACAAATAAATAAAATACGAATAGAAATATGTTAGCCCAATTCACTTCTGGACTTACTAGTGATTTAAAAGGGCGTACGTCAAAATCAAAAGGAATTTTCTTTACCCATATATAGCTTTCATGAAAAGCGCCGTCCGTCATTTCTGAGCCAGGTGCTACGGAGCTTCACTGGCTATCCAACTTCTCGTAGTTGAATGCGTGGTTTTTGTTTTGCTGCATCCTTTTTTTTATCTCTTCTTTGCATGGTTTTTTGTTCATGCTGTCAGCTTACTGTCAGTCTCACTTGACGCTCTAGAATATTGCTCTTCTGTGAACCCTATCACAGTCCACCCGGAACTATACCTCTCACTGGGAACTTTTTTGTGCGCGATTTTCTGGATATTTTTTTGATCAAAAATGCATGTTGGCAAAAAGTGATTTTCTATCGCGAACGCCTTGAAGTTCATGCTAAACAGCTGAACGATGAAATTTTTCAATAAGCAGTCATAACATTCTGCACCACATCCGAGTCGCCGAGATATTCTACCCCAGCATCGGGCTGGCAGAGTCACAGGTCTCAAGACAGTGCTTATCGTAAAGTGCAAAGACTTACTTTACCGCAGAGAATAAACGTGCACATGTTACGCGATCCTTTGTCTCTGTCCATACGCGTTGCGCGTAGTAATTCTGTTGGATTAGTGGACATTTCGCCTAATGCTAAACAAGGGTTTAGAGTACGACGTGTTAAACTCCGTAGACAGACTCATTATGTATGCAGTATATGTACAGTACATGTTTCTTGTGTTGACGCGAGAACACTACTATTGCTACACTTGTCGCAAGGTCATTACGTCACAAGAATCTTGAGCCACAGGGCAGTAATGCATTTTTTGCCTATAGCCCGTGCACAAAACAAAAAGAAATGCTGCAAATTTGGGGACGTGCCGGATTTATGACAAGGTTACAGGTCTGTTTTCTTTTTTTTTGTCACTTTGCCTTCCCAAGCACAACAGCTAAAAGGTAGGTGTACGAATTATATGCAGTGGTGGGTTATACGCGAGGAAGTGACTACGCATCAAGAAGCTTCAACAGTTGCTTGTCCCGCCGAAATTGACGTTTCCTATTTAGTTTATTACTATGCAAATATCAGGCCATACTTTGACTCAGCGGCAGACGTCTTTCTTGCTTTCCTGAGTCAGAGTAGTTATCCTTGCAGTGTCTAAATATCCAACCTCTTCAGCCAACCTCGCTTGGTAACACGTTAACGCCAAAACACTCGCTTCGCAAAACTTCCACTGTAGGCGTCGTCGGGTCTGAGGAAAAAAAACCGCTATGGATGAACATTATTAAAAAAAACATGCATTTCAGCCGTAATCCAACCTAGGTGTCCTGCACGACAAGCAAATCTTGTAACGCAGAGCTACATCAATGCTTGAAGCTCTTCAGAAACCAAAAAGCACTGCACAGAGTGTTATATGATGCGACGGGCATCATGAACATGTTATATTGCGTGGCAAAAACGTATAATGGCTTCAGGCATCACGTATAGTTTTGTAATATGTGACGTTGAAGACTCTCTTTCCTTTTCTTATCTCCTGTGTGGAGTAGCAGGCTAGAGCGCTCTAGTTCTTGTTCACCTATTGTCCGTGGCGTATACCCACTGTGGGGGATTGGCCAAGCACTGAGTGGTTTTACAAAATATTGTGCAGTTTTAGAATAATGAATAATATATAATAAAAAGATTACCGATGACCTAGGAAATTGTGGTGCTTGATTAAATGCATGTAATGCATGTAATTCGTGTATATATAATGCTATATAATGTTATATATATATATATATATATATATATATATACTTGAAGACCCCTAACCCACTTATTGCAACGTGCTACGATGTAATCACCATGGCCATCAGCACACACAAAACACGCTGATATGTAGGTGCGCGAGTACCTTACAAACGCGCAGTGGCCACTTCTATATTTCGGAAAGTGCTAAATTATGACGTAGTAGGCACTTCGTAACTTCACTTGTTGTACGCCCTTTAAAGCGACCTTAAAACAGCCAATGCTGCACGCATAGACATTTTTGCCACCGGGGGCACGGTTCAGGAGTCCACTGAGAAGGGAAGTTTGGCAAGCCAATGAGGAGACGGTGATTTCCAGTCCCAATTACGCCATCACGTTCAGCTCCTAAACGACAAGCTTGAGTGTCTTTCATGTTATTTTCTTTTTCGAAATCGCCTTTTATTCATGATCATCTCGCTTGCTGCCGTTTTCATGTTTAACTCATCAGTACCCTAATTACAGGTCGGGCATGCTTGTAAAAGTCTTGCGTTGCTTGAAGCTTCACCGAAATTGTGTTAATAAAGTGGTGTGTGTCAGTCACCTAATGAAAACAAAGCAGGGCTTACGCAATTGTCCAGAAGGTTCTGACGTGACCTGAAGATAATGAACATTTGTTTATGGTACAAGACACCAACAACCGGTGTAGAGCGAACATTTTATAACTTTCTCTTGGATGTTTCTGGGAAGCATAACCAAGATTTAGCGAAACCTTGATGCGCCTTATTTTACTCGGCGTTCATGTCGGCGCATGTTATTCTGACGAGGTTGCGGCTGAGTTAACTTGAGTTCCTGTCACACAATATTAACGAATGCCGTTGCTGTACTTGACAGCGTCTGAATTACCCACTTTTGAGAAGGAGAAGAGGAATTTAAGGAGGTAATCACGGCTTATAAATAGATCATTATATTTCATAAAGCTTTCGCATTAAGGTCACCTGTTCCTAGCGTAAACACCTTCAACGCATGAGGTACGTTAAAGAATCGCGAGAATAGCTTCTTCATGCCCACTCACTTTTCTCACTTGACTGTTATCATGTAGAAAGTGTTTCACAACGCTGTTAGTTTAGCGAAACGTTCCTGCTTTTTGCACTGATTTTATCGTTTTAGAAAAGTGTCTTAGCTGCAGGTGAGCTTGATTGTTCCAACAGTGTTATTGTTCGCTGCTCTTATTTGTGCAATCTGAGTTCTTTATTTATCTGTATTTCTTTAATCTTTCTTTGTTTCTTTATGAATGAAAGGAACGCAAATGTAAGGGCTTGTTTTCATCGATACATGAGAGCCAATAGACAAAGAAGCCAAAGAAAGTATAGGGAATGATATTGGAAGTAATTGTATTCTAAATATGAGGAAAGAAAAGTGGACGGAAAGATTCCTTGCCGCCTGCAGGGACCAAACTTGTATGTTTTCTTGAGAATTTAGCTAAATCACGACAAAAAATCAATAGGCTTTCAGTAACGTTGAAGCCAAAGTCGATAGCATTAACTCTAGACTGTTTGTTGAACTTCAATTATTTACCCATAGGCGTTTGTGGATTGGTATAATTTAAGCTAATACGTAATGCTGTTAACGATAATTTTTTTCCATTACAGAGTGGCTAGTGCCTTAGGTTCTAACTTTGAAATTTACCAAATGTTTATCATTTAATAGTCGTCATATTTCTTCATTTTCATCCTTTCCCAAGGTTTCCCTCAAACGAAATTAAGTCCAGTGTCGACTAACATTGAAAATATTTCCGCAACCAAGGTCATACGCATGTAGGGAACTATATAGAGAGCTTCAATTAACACTGACAAGAAGCTGTGTAAAGACACAGGCTCATGAAAGAGAACACTTTCATCACGTTAACGCATTCGTGAAGTGGTGCCATCAACTTTTTTTTTTGCTAGTTTCAAGACATCGTGCGATGGCCAGTGACAGACGCACGCGTAAAAGCACTTCCTAACAGCGTTTGTTCCGGCTTCTGCAAAATGAAACGAACCTGATGGAAAAGTTTCCTTCATTCAATTACCTCACCCTGGCGCACGTCCGATTTTATTATTTACCCTTTCTTCTGTTCTCTACGAGTCACTCAGTCGCAGTATTATTGCGTAAAAGTACAGCAAAGTCACACCAAAGTACAGCAAAGTGATTAGAAGACTCCATGACTGGGGCTTCAGTTCTCACTGTGACGCAACGCTGTCACATTTGATACGCCGAGACGGACACTACACGAACGTGCGAAACAGCTGCCTAACGAACAGGTTCTCTGAACATGCAAACTCAGTTGTGAAGATGAAAACGAAGTGAAACTTGGACGGATTTTGGTGACCGTTACGGCAAGTTGAGACCGATATCTTGAAGA